AGGTTTTTAAAACGAGAAAACATGACCCCCCACCCAAGTATATTTTTGCCAATATCTTGGTAGCAGAGATATTCATGAAGAGAGAACACAAAGAATATATTTAATATATTACAACTGTACTTGATCTACTCTACATGTACCTAAGTATCTGTTATATCTTTTACAGCCAGTTATAAATTGCAACTCACATTTTTGGCATCGTCGTTGTGGTCAGATAGTTTAATAAAGAACAGGTTGTCTTGGACTGTGGACAGTTGAACTGTGGTTACAGTGGCATTTTTCATGAATGACTTGTTTTAACAACAGTGTGTGTGACCGAGTGTCTCTGACTAAGCAGTCATTTATGCAAAGGGTAGGCATACATAATAAAGGGCACATTCAGTTTATGCAAACGTTTATATAAACCATATTTACAAATGCACCTTAGTAATGTGTGGGAAAACACGTAAAAGTTGCCCTGTGGTTAAAATCTAGTCACTCATGAAAGAGGTGAATAATGACATGTTTTACATACAGCCAGCCAGCTAACTTCTGACTGCAACATTCGTGCCAAAGAGTCATAAATTCCAATTTACAATTGACTTCAAAAGATGGAAAAAAGTCACAGATTGTATGGTGTATGTGTATGTATCACACATATATCCAGAATTATTGGGACTCTTACATTATTAGGAAGCTTACACCAAATGTATGAGAGAAATTTAAACAAAAAACACAAAAAATGGTTGTCAATGTCAATCATACACTCTACTATTCTGGGAAGGCTTTCCACTGGATTTTGGAACTAAATTAATTCAGTTCAGCCACAAGAGCATTAGCGAGGTCAAGGACTGATGTTTGGTGATAGCCAGGCTCACGGTCGGCATTCCAGGTCATCCCAAAGGTGAGGTCAAGGCTGTCTTCTGAACAGTCGAGTTCTTTCACACCAATTTCAACAAACCATTTCTTTATGGACCTCAGTTGGGGGCACTGTCATGCTGAAACAAAAAAGGTCCTACCGTAAATCTTTGCCATAAAACTAGAAGCATGCAATTCTCGAGAAAATCACTGTAAACTGTAGCATTAATATTTCCCTTCACTGCAACTAAGTGGCTGAGCCCAAACCCTGAAGAACAGCAGCTAGCATTCTCCTGACATCTGCCAATCCAGGATTCAACCGTCAGACGGTGCCAGATGGTGAAGTATGAATAATCACTTCAGAGAAAGTTTCTGCTGCTCCACAGTCCAATATCTGTGCTCTTTACATCACTTCTGCCAGCGCTTGGCATTGTGCATGGTGGACTTATGCTTGTAAGACTTTTAACAAACTGCTCTCAACAAGGAGTTCATGTGCTCATATTGCCTCCAGAGAGAAGTTTGGAGTTGTGGGTTCTGAATATGGGATGAACAAAGTTAAGATAACACAAAGTTAAACTGCCAATTTTATTTCAAACAATTTTTAACCATTTCTTTTGGTCCATTGGTCATGAAATGTTCACTCAATGTGGAGGGTAGGTAGCTTCAGAGCTACACTATGTAAGATTTGAGGATTTGGAGACCTCTCTGGTGAAAATGTGAAATTGCACGCAATGTGAGGAAGAACATTTCATAATGTGGGTTGTGCTTCGGACACTTGATGAATCTGATGATTGTAAGCAAGTTGGAAAAATATTCAACTCAGTCAGAGAACTCTGCACGTGTCTTCTGAGGATGTAGGTAAATTATCTATTGTCATCATATCTTTATCAGTATCATGTTAATATTGCATTTGAGACCTAAACACAGAGCCAGACCTTCCTTTAAACCTGTGCGTGTGACGTTAATATATAAAGACAAAGGACGGACAGAGGCGCAGCCAAGGGGTAATCAGTGCCATTCTAGTATTCTAGTATCCCAGCTATGGAAAGTGAGATAGTCAGTCATCATCCATAAAGTAATCATTAGGAAGTAATTCTACCTACGCTGTGTGAATGTTACATGTTATGATAAAAACTGCCATCATGGTAATTACCAGTCTAAGAGTCTGATGACAATGACTGCGTTTACAGGCACTCAATAATCCAATCATAATCAGATTTCTGCAGTTACCCAATTATTCAAATGGTTATGTAAAAACCATACTCCAATCTAGAAATCCCAGTAAGAAATCTGATAAAGAGAGCTGGATTGTAGCTAAGTAATCAGATTTCTCAGTGCATGTAAACTCTTACTCTGATCTCTTTATTTCTCAGTCTGCAGACTGCTGTACTAGAAATAAGCACACAGTGTTTTGGAGCAACACACTTTTGGAGCAACGCTGAAACCAACTACATTCTCAATGAAATAGAATATTTAAATATTCTTCATCTTCTAGATGATGTATGCTCATAGTTTCAGGTGAAGTGTTGGGATGTTTAAACAAAGCCGCGGCATGAAGTTTGAGTTTTACATTACATTTTCATCAGGCCTATTTCTGTGAGTTTATTGGCCATTGCAAAGCATAAATCTGATTACTGCCTGATTCATGTAGACCCGGAGTTTTCACATTATCTGGTTACTCAAGTGCATATAAACGTGTTGATCAAATTACTGACAAAATCTGATTTTCTGCAGTCATCGGATTATTAAGTGCATCTAAATGCACTCACTGCACTTAATAAAATTGACAAAGCAAACTGTGTACATGACCTGGGTCCCTTCAGCAGTGCTGCTTTGTTTATTTACTTTTTACAACTTTTTGCAAGTGTATACATGCATGTGTTGTAGGCTTTACTTTGGAGTTACTTTAAGTTTGTGCTAAATCTAGGTCCATTCTCTCTTAGCCTATACAGTCCTGTCTGGCTAGCTTTCTAGTCATTAGACTTATGTAGAGCAAAGGCTTAAATGAATAATGTCTATGGACTGTCTACATGAAACATTTTTCTCAGAGTTAACGTTATGCACTGAAAAAAGTGACGTATTTAATTTACAAGATACAAATACAGGATTTACTCATGAATGAATAAAATGCATTGCATCAATTTTGCCTTTCACTTTTGGCAATAATTACGTTGGTCCAATATTTTAATTATGTTGAAAGGAAGGATAGATTTAGTTATATACAGTATATTATAGTTTTTTCCTAGCAGCATGCCACCCCAACAAAACCTAACCTTTTCAATCTGACCTTGCCACCTTATGTGGATAGTTATCATGTGGATAACATGGATATAAAGAGATGTGCCTTGCAAAATGAGCCATTCTATGGAATGTACCACAGACAGACAGACAGATGGATAGATGGATTTGGCTGAACGGAGAAAACCCTAGCAGTGTCCGGAAAAGGCCATACTAAAATACAGCACAAGAACAAGCACTCAGCACTAAATTAGTCGAAAGAGGGGTGTTCCATGCCAGACAAGACCCTAAGTGAAGCCCAGGAGACAGTCCAGCTCCTAGTAGCAGACTGCAAGTTCCAAGCAAGAACAGTATACACTAAGAGGCAAAATCAAGTGGCAGGCATCTCATACAGCAACTTCTGCAATAAATATGGGATGGACACTTCACAGTCCAAATGGGAGGAACCACAGTTAGTGGTGAAAAACAAAAAAAAAACAATCCTGTGGCTCTTTCAAATCCGGACAGAGAAACAATAGCAACAGCAAACCAACCAGACAAAATGATAATAGTTAAGGAGCAGTGGGGATAGATGTGGCAGAGTGATGGGCCATCAGAATTGAAGGAATACAAGAAGGTGGAGACAGAAAGAGAAGTTAAATTGAATGCAGAAGGTTAAAACAAAGGTGACAGGAAGCTAAGCTGGAAGAGAAGCTCCAACAGACTTCATGAGTACAACATCTCAGTCCAGAGACAATCCTAGGAACAGTACTTGAACAACACTGCACCACAAGCCCCAACTCTCAGGCTTCTGGGAGGAGGCTCGAATCTGAGGAAAAATACCACCCACAGAAAAGAGGGTGAGACATCCATTTTTCAAAATTTTACATACACTACTGTACAAAGTCAGAGACCACCCTTCATTTATTTTCCAGTGAAAATGGCTATTAAGTACAAGTTATTTTTCACTATCTGGAAACATTTAACAGAAAATTACACAGAAGACTCAACAACTAAATGTAACATCCTGTGTTTAGTGTGTCCACCCTTTGCCTTTATTACAGCTTCCATTCCTTTTGCGAGACTTGAAGTCATTGTTTTCAAGATATCTGAGGGATATTTTTTCATGCGTTTTCAGTTTTAGAAGTTGGTTGCATTTTCTGCTTTACACATTCAGCAATGTTGAGGTCTGGACTCTGGGGTGGTCAGTCCATTGTTCTGAGAACACCAGTAGCTTTGTTGCTTGATTTGCTACGTTTTGTCTGTTTCCTTTTCTCAGTAATGGCTTCTTGACATCTACACATCCTTTCAGACTCATAGTGTTGAGTTGTCTTCTCACAGTGGAAGGATGGACAGAAACACCTGTGGACTTTTTCAGATCTGAAGCAAGAGTGGAGTTTGATTTTCTCCTCTCTCTCAAAGATGAAAGCTTTAAGAACTGATATTGACAGTTTTAGTGGTCTACCAGGTGTTGTTAGGAGTCCCATTTTCTTTATATCTTCTTATCACTTCCAGTTTTAGAAGCGCCTGTTTTTCACTTTTTCACCATTTTTCTTTGACTTTTTCCTTGATTATTCATCTTATAATTAACCCCTTTTCCAGAGCAAACTCATACAAATATTTAAATTGTCACTGTCATATCAAAACTTTTTTGTCATTATTTATTTTTTCACTACAGCTGCCTTCTTGCACTAAACAGCATGTACATTACTTCTCCACAGAGCTGACTCCTTTGTTTGAAAACTTGAGAACCCACTGACACCCCTCCTTTGTGTGCAGTGTACAGAAGTGGAGCCGTGTTCAGGGCGGGTCACACGCAGTTCTGGAAGGCCACCGTCCATTCAAGCAGGGAAAGGAAGAGTCTCCATGACAACAGTGGTTATCTGTATCCTCCATGGGTTTCCTGTGGAGGTGTGGCATTCTGCAGCAGGGGTTGCGATGATATTATTTGCTCAGTATAACACCCACAGCCTTAAGAGGCTAACCTGTTTACTGGGCTGTTGGTTCCCCAAGCTCCTGGAGGTCTTTTAGCCATGCTGAGATGGCAGTGAGGGGGCTAGAGCCCAGGCAGGCCGCAGAAGGGCTGTCAGGGCCACGGCTGAATGTTTGGCTTCTCTGCTTTGCACTGCCTCTGGTGGCCTCAAACCCTTCTTTTGCACCAGAGGCCAAATCCTACAGCTTCGGAAGACGCTTCCTGGGTTTGGATAAATGCAATGCCTGTGTGGGCACCTCCATATGCAAGAAGTTTTTAAAAGAGCAAATAAGGTAAGAGTTTTGATATAGTAAACAGTGGCATGTTGGGTGAATTCAGTTGAGGACACTTTATTTATTTAACTTCCAGTCAAAATGGACATTCGGTACAAGTTCTTTTTTGCCACGAAAAAAGCAGAAAACATATCTAGCAGGAAATTACACAGAAGTCTCAACAACTAAACATAATGGCATGCATTTTACATGCCCAATCTTTGCCTTTATCATGGCTTCAATTCTTTTTTGTGAGACTTTTTCAAAGAAATCTGAAGTTAGTTTTCCATGTTTCTTGAAAACTTCTCCAAAGTTCAGTCTTTGGTGCTTCTCATGAACTTTAATGATGTTGAGGTTTGGGTTCTGGGGTGGACGTAGTAACCCTTTCATACAGTAAACAATGGTGTGTCGGGTGCTTTTAGTTGAGGACGTGAAATGTGGGTAATCTGCAGTTTTTCTTAGCCAAAGTTTATGTTTAAAACAACAGTACCGTATTTCAGAGGGGGTAGTGCAACCAATGATTCCCAGAACTGAAGGCATACTGCTCATCATAATCATAGATCAACCACAGATAGTTTCCACCCAACCAGATTGCCACTGATTGCTAAGTAAACTATCTTCTTCCTTAAGATAAGTTTGTTTGTGCAATAGTTAGAGACAATGACATGACATTTGATTAAAAAGAGAGTAAAACATAACAGTTCTGAATTCATTTAAGGAATGGAAACTCTAATGGGAACTTTATTTGTTTTTGCACCAGATTTGAAAGGTGGCTGTCCTCTCAGCAGGATCTAGCCTCAGCCAACAGGACATTCTATGAAGGGAACTACACGGATGACTCGGAGAGCTGGAGGCCTGTGGTGCTGTCCCGCCTGGTGTCCCCCCACCTGCATGACTTGGCTGACAAAAGCATTTGCAAGTCAGCAGGCAAAAGGAAATCCTGCAGCATTGAGGCTGTTCTGAGAGCTACACAGCGCTTCCAGAACTGGACACACTCCAATCTGCTGCTGCCCAGCATGGTGCAGGTGTGTCTCTGCCCTAAGCACAGCGCTATTAACCTCAATATACAGGCTTTGGTTACAGCAGCTTCAGCTCCAGTCTTTTAAACTCATGTTTTCTTTTTACTTTAAGAGGGGTTGAATAGGAGCTTCAGTTCTATGGGGATCTGGAGGTCATGCAGCCACAGAAAAGAAACAGCAAATAGTATTCAGCTTTTGGAAATACGCAAAAATATCTCCTCATAAGAATTAGAGAACCAGCCCTCTTCTCTATGATATAATAGGGTATATTAACAATTACATAAGTTTTACCACAGTCAATTTTTCCAAGCCAGTCACTTTATGAACGGGATATTTGAGGAAAAAAAAAAACACAGACAGTCACATCAGCTAGATTTAAAGCTACTTTAATTTCAACTATTAACTTCCACAACCACAAATAACATTAGGTAACATTAGAGTGTGAGTGATCTGGAAAAAATCTACACCAGTGGTCTCCAACCCTGGTCCTGGAGAGCTACCTTCCTGCAGAGCCAAGGTCTCCTCACAATTTGCCACACCTGCTCCAGCTAATCAACCTCTTCCCAAGTCCCTGATTGGCTGGATCATGTATTAGAGTTAAGTAAGGGTCGGGGCAGCTTATCGGATACAGGTAAGAACTAAACTCTGTAGGAAAGTAGCTCTCCAGAACCAGGGTTGGAGATCCCTGGTCTGCACCACATGTGTCAAGCTTCAGTCCTTGTGGGCCAAAACACTGCAAACTTCAGCACACTGCCTCATTAAACACACCTGATTCAGCTTATCAGCTAATTAGCAAAGCCTTCATGAACTGAATTCAGAGTGTTAGATGAGGGTAAATGCTAATATCTGCAGTACTTTGGCCTGGAAGTTTCCTAGTTTGACATGCCTGGTCTACACAGTCTCTTGAAGTGTAGGCTACTGCACACTAAACACTTTGTTTGTTTTTTTTTTGTTTTGTTTGTTTTTTTTTGATCCAGTGACCTTTCTAAATCTGTGTTAAACATATCAAAGGGAGGGAGCTTTAAAAACAGGAAAGGGGCCAAGCCAAATATTTTAATCAGTATTTGTTATATCAGTATTAGTAATACTAATAACTTTACTTATGGAAACATTTTATTATACTGTAACTGTCAATATAAGTGTCTTTTTTGTTTGCGAGCTGCTCTTTACATTGCGTCAAAAATTCATGATGGTTAAAGAAACAGAAATGCCCCAATATTACTTCAAAACAAATCTTATTCCATTAATTTCCATTCAAAGTTAATGTTTTTTTCCTGTTTTTTCCTTCTCCTGTAAAGTTAATACTTTGGAGATGGTTTTTGATGGACAGGGTTTTGATGTGACAGATTTTATGAGTAAAATCAACATTTTTGTCATTTTGTTTATTACCAAATAACTATTATCATAATTAATTATTGGGGGTGGTGGAGGGAAACATGAGTGAGTTGTAATTACTGGCAGGGTTGTAACCCCTCAATCCTCCCTAGAAATTACGCCTGTGTTTTACATGGAGAGCTGCTCTGAATAGTTTTGAAAAGCTTGTCCACTGCTTCATATCTTAACGTCTGTCTGCAGGGTCTGGCCCCTCCAATGCTGCGCTGTCCATCTCAGAGGCTGCTGGACCGTATCGTGCGCCGCTATTTTGAGGTGGCCGATGTGGGCAGCGTGCAGATGAAGCACTTCACCCCTAAGGACAGACTCCGCCTTCTCTACACCCTGGCTGTCAATCAACAGCCTCTTATATTACAGGTATACAGCAGTGTCAACCCACTTGATGTTATATTCCTCTCTCAGACCAGAATTGAATACCTCTGCAGCAAATAGACAAATTAGAGCAATACACTCTATTTTCAGGCCCTATCAATTCATTAACACATACAGCATATCTATAAGTACACTCAGAAAAAAGGCAACTGTAGAGGTACAAACAATGCAGATGTACCCTCAAAGATACAGCAATGGTCTTTAAGGTCCAGTTGCGTACCTTGAATGATTTTTACAGGTCCACTATGTTCATTTTCCCAAGAGAAGAGGTACATATTCATACATATTCATAACTTTTTAAAACAGAAAATAATATAAAAAGCTGAAGTCAGAACAGAGTGTGTGGAGTCAATTAGAGATCAATTGGCATATTGATGAGTATCTGTATCAGGACGATATTAGTAGAAAATGCTGGATTGGGTAACGGAGGAAAAAAGAATCACTCCTATCAAATCCTGTAACAAATCTATCCTGAAACAGTATACACTGACATTGTGTGATGCTATCTGTGTATTTCTTCCTATGAGATAGTAGAGTACTTGAATAGTTTGAGCATGATTGTCCACTTTTAGATGCTCTTATGAATGATTCAATTTAAAAAGCTCATTTTGAGTTTTAAGTAGTTTTTAAAAGAGAAATACAGTACCAATATCAGCCAAAACTCAAGATTTCAAAATTGGTATTGGGAAGAAAAAAGTATTTCGTGCCATCTCTAGAATCAGTGCAAGTAGCCAAATGGCCCTAGCGATTATTCTGCTAGCAGAATGGAAATCCACTCAGATATTTTTAATATCATATGAGTGCTGAACTGTCCAGTAATGATGTTAGCGGCAGTTTAAAAAGATGCAGTCGCGCTTTACATTACTCAGAGGAACCATGTGCTAGCCTTCACCCTGGTAGTATTGTGTGATTGGAGGAAAGCTTGGTAGTGGGTGGAATTGGACATGACTAAATGATTAAAAATACTTTCCACTGAAATATACACTCTATGGACAAAAGTATTGGGACACCTACAGGAGCTTTTATGACATCCCATTTTAAATCCCATTTAAAGGCATTAATATGGAGCTTGTCCCCCTTTGCAGCTATAATAGCTTCCACTCTCTGGGAAGCTTTCTACAAGTTTTTGGAGTTTGTCTGTGGGAACCCCCTCACCCAAAAATGACTTTATGGACCTTGCTTTGTGCACTGGGGCGCAGTCATGCTGGAACAGAAAAGGGCCTTCCCCAAACTGTTGCCACAAAGTTGGAAGCATAGAATTGTCCTAAATGCCTTTGTATGTTGAATCATTAAAATTTTCCTTCACTGGAACTAAGGGGTCTAGGCCAACCCCTGAAAAACAGCCCCATAGGCATTATCCCTCCTCCACCAAACCTTACAGTTGGCACAATGCAGTCAGACAGGTGATGTTCTTCTGGCATTCGCTAAAATTAGACTCGTCCATCAGACTGCCAGATAGAGCAGCATCGTTTGTTACTCCACAGAATATGTTTCCACTGCTCCAGAGAACAGTGGCAGCGTGCTTTATACCACTCCATCCGACACTTGGCATTGTGCTTGGTGATGTAGGGCTTGCATGCAGCTGTTCAGGCATGGAAACCCATGCCATGAAGCTCCCGGTGCACAGTTTTTGAGCTGATGTTAACTGCATGTTAAATGCAGTTATTGACTCAGCAGAGTGTTTGCGACTTTACATGGTCTGACACTTCGTGGCTGAGTTGCTGTGATGCCAAAACGCTTCTGCTTTTCAATAATACCACTTACAGTTGATTGGGAGGGAAGAAATTTTGCGAACTGACTTGTTGCAACGGTGGCATCCTATTACAGTACCACACTCGAATTCAGTGAGCTTTTTAGAACGACCAATTCTTTCACAAATGTTTGTAAAGGCAGACTGCATGGCTAGGTGCTTGATTTTATACACCTGTGGCAATGGGACGGAATGAAAAACCTTCAATAATAATTCAATAATTAAGAGGTGTGTCCCAATACTTTTGTCCATACAGTATATTCCATCAGATACATTGCATATTTCAACAGAGGAACAACGACACTCTGAAACCTTTATTACCATATAAACTCTGACTCAATATACTTGTTGAGTTGTTCTTTGTGAACCAGAACAAACAGCCAGCACATAAAATCAGCTTCCTCCAGGCCTCCCATGCATCCTGTTTTCCCCCCTGACTCACCTCTGCTCTCGTAGATGTTTCCAGGCACGGAGGGCTGGCCCTTCCCCCGCTATCACGGCTCTTGTGGCAGGCTGATGGTGTGGGCAGGCTCCAGGCCCTTGAAGAAGCTGTACTCATCACCGCTGGCACAGCGGGCGGACGCAGCCTACCAACTCCTCCGCATCACCCAGAGCCTGGCCTCCAACAGCCTCCGCTTCAACCTCTACTACACCACGGCTTCAGAAGACATGTTCGGCACCGTGGAGGACGGCAGGCTTCTCATCACGGATGCCAGCACCATTGGAATCATCGACCTGCAGGAGGGTGAGGCTTTTTAAAGCGATAGTTTAACCGAGCTGACATGAGTAATGAGAAGCGAATGCAACTAAAGCTGATCTGCATGGTTTAGTTAAAGAAAATGTTGGAGCTAAAATCTAATTGTTCTGAATGTGAATTAGATTTGCATATATTCTCATCTTAATATGGTTAGATAAGCACATCAGAGATTCAGATCAGTGACTCGGTCATAAAATTGTGGTCTGAATGTGGGTTAAAGGCAAATTTACACAGATTTTTCTAAATTTCTGCAATCCAATCATTGAGATTTAAAGTAATTCTGATTGGTTTGATTTGAAATAGTGCATTATAGAGAAACCTAGATTCATTTACATGGTAGTGATAGGAACGCCTTTCAAATACACCCTTAAAGAAGAAGGCTCTTTAACAAAGACAATGGCTCAACATAGAATCATGAACACTCAAACAACTACTTACGTGTTCAAAGGGTCCTTTGCATTGTGAACTCATTCTTCAGACTGATGGAGAATGTGTTGTATATGGCTCTATATAGAACCTTTTTGAAAAGGATTGTACATAGCACCAAAAAGGGGTCTTCTATTGTTAAGTTGCCAAGCTTGTAACAATAGAAGAACCCTTTTTGGTGCAATATAGATCCATATATAACATATTCTCAATCTATCTGAAGAACCATTTCACCATACACAAAACCATTTAATCATGCAAGTGGTTCGTTGAGTGGTCATTGTTCTATACAGACCCACTGTCTTTACTAAAGAGCCCTTGAAGAACCATATTTTTTTTGTAAGTTTCAGGCCAAAACCTGCATGCGATGTATCTGTAATCGTTTTGTCTAATAGATGATGTAGCTTCTAAAGTCATTTAATGCTTCAGGCATCTGGTTCCCATCCCATGTTGTAACCATTGTGACTTTTGAAGTTTCTCTAGAATGCTCAAACCAAAGCAGTCTGAATGACATTGTTTACATCTAAAATATTTTGAAAATTTGAACAATTGCTGGATTTCTTTTTTATTCTGATATTTACTGAATCTTCGTCTTCCATGGTACATTTTAGGAGAGAATAAAGACAAAATTACAGTTAAATCCAGCTATACATAAAACAGAAGAAAGTTGTTAGCTTCGAAAAGATGCCTTCTAGGAGTTGAATTCCTGGAGCTGAATTCAGAAGGCAGAAAACAGTGTTCTTTGACTAAATCTGAATCTGGTGAGGGAAAACATGCTTAATGAGATCTCTCTAAGTAGGTGCAATTTAAATCTGACTATGGCATGTGTGTAAAGCAGAGGGAGCCTACAGAGCAGTTTGGAACTGCTATCTTGTACTCGTTTCTCATTTTTATACTGCCGATGGGGACTTAGAAACCTGCCAAAGCTTTTGTATGTGCTTTGAATTAAAGCTCAGTTTCGAGCGAGTATGTTTAGTTCAGTCACAGCTCACAAATAAGCTAATGAATAAAAGCATCAGGGGACAAGGCCAGTGTCGGGTGTTTGTGTTACTTACAAGCACAGTGGCTTAGGGTTTCTGTTGTTTCCCCATAAAGGCTGCACTGGCACAGTGCACCAATTGCAGTCATGCTTGTAATTTTAATGATAGAACAGTGTAATCTGTGTGGCGGTTCAGATCAAGACGAACTCTGAATTCTCCCACACAGCCTCTGCTCCTGACATTTACACACTAATGAGTAGCCTGCTGGATCTGCTGTGCTTTTGTATTTAGAAATAAATGCATGAGACAAATGGTTTACAGATTGGAAAGGCTTGGAAAAGTATCTGTTACAACACACTTTTTATTTAAAAATCCTATGTTTAATAACTATTTTATTGTATTTTTATAACTTTCATTCATTTAATTACCTTCAATTTTTAATGGAACCCTTTCATGTAAGTGTGAAAATTTTCCAAAATACTTAAACTACCTTGTAGTTCTCCTCTTTTTTATATATATATATATATATATATATATATATATATATATATATATATATATATATATATATATATATATATATAATATGCAAAGGTGCACTGGGAAATGCTCAGTTCACTCTAGTTCCTGCTTAATAAAGCAGTTACAGTTAATTAGCAGTTACTGGCTTGGCTAAGGCTTAATAAGGGCTTTACAAGGGCATTATAGTGTCCTCCTACACTGAAGCGTTACCAGATTTAGAAGTCCCATGTGACCAAAAGGTTGTATATAGGAACTTTAAAAATTATGGTTCTCCAAGCGTTCTTTAGAAAAAAAAAATGGTTCTATAAAGAACCATGAACACTCAACCAAGAACCCTTTGCATGACTCTTTGCATCAAGAAAGCGTTCTTCAGCTTAATGGAGAATGTGTTATATATGGTTCTATATAACACCAAAAAGGATTTTTCTACTGTTACGATGTCAAGCAACACATTCTCCATCAATCTGAAGAACTCTTTCACAATGCAAAGAACCCTTTAATTATGCAAAAGGTTCTTTAAGTGTTCATGGTTCCATTTAGAACCATTTGTCTTACTAAAGAACCCTTGAACAGCCATCATTTTTAAGTGTGTAATGTAAATTAAGTGATTAAAAAACTAACTTTTTAGCCACATGGGTTGATCGATTTGAGAAACGTCTTCAGATTTGTGCTTAGGCAAGCTCAGACAACGGGAACACGTTGGGTTATTAAGGTCTTGTTATTTATTCCATAAAGCCTAGACATGTATGGTTTAAGAGTATAATTATACTGTTAATGAGTTTAGTAAGTCACTAATAGGCTACTTCATGATGTGTTCCATATCCTAAAGCAGTTTTTGTCATCACTAATTAGAGGCTAAAAAGCACTAAATACATTGTCAAAGACTCAATTTTCTTCACAAATTCAGTTCCTATTGCATTAAACACCGAAAAGTCTTCCATACAAGACTACAGTTTTTTCACATAAAGTTGTTGAAGTAGGCTTAAACTTCAGAATATGGAACATGTTATAAAACATTAGCAACTTTTGAACCTTTATTAGCTCTAATTCAATAAGCTCCAAAGTTTCCTGTTGCTATATAAAACACACAGGAATAAAATTCTGCCAATTAAACACTAGTTACTTGTAAATTTAGACGATTACATGCTTAATAATTTGCATGGTAATCTCTTAACATGTTGTATATTATTACCAATGTAATTATTATTCAAATACAAAAATCTAATTACATACCTATCCAGCTCATAAAAAAATAAAGCTTAGTGCATGGTGAATAAATCATTTATGTGTCTAATTTGTGCTTTATTGAACAAATAGGACCTTAAAGAGGATTCCCTCAATAGGTGTTACTTAAACTAAAGCATTGTCCAGAGAACATATGGACCAGAGGAAATGTAAAATTTTAAATATGGGAATTAATGGTTCAATGAAGTTTTGAGATCAATAACTGAATAATTAAGCCTGCAGTTCAGTGAGCTGATTATGAATTACAATGTAACAGCCAAATACCTTCCACAGGATTCCACACGGAAGGAAACTCACAGGCCAACCATAGTGATGTCTTCTCTTGTCTGGGCAGCTCCTGTCAGCAGACTCTTCCCTGTGAACGTGTTCGCTCCTCTCAGAGTTTCACTCTGCTCTGCAGACACGTCCTCCCTAAGCTGCTCTCCCTTGCAGATGTGCAATCAGCTGGCCTGCCCAAAAAGGCCATCACAGAGCTGGCTGTCTGTGCAGACCACTCACAGTCAGACCAAAGGATATTTAAGGCTGTCCAAACACTGCAAGACACACTACAGGCCTTAAGACCGTGCAGTAATGATTATGGATACAGATATCCTGAGTGCAAGTACAGCGACAAGTTCTAGAGAAGCGACAACAATGTAAACAGAAATAACGGATTAAAGATGGACGTTAACGGCCACCTAAAAGAACCTAGATGTTGCACGTTCTTCAAACCAAAGACTGCAACCTCATCAATTCAAATCATTTGCAATCGCGCTTTGCACTTGGAGTACAACTCAATCATGTCTATGCAAAGGAGAGGGAGACTCCTGTTGGTCACTGCCTCAATTCCAGGAAAGGTCTTTATAGCACACAGGATATGTGAGACACAGTCTCAATCGAAATATATGAACGGTACATAGTTTTAATGAGGCATAAAATCAGGGGACAATTATGGAAACTATTTAGAAACGGCCATTTCAGGTATGACTCTTTAATGACTCAAAAACCACCAAACAATAAAAGAATCTTTGTATTTTCTGTACAATGCTTACTAGGCGGTTTTATTTATACATAAAAAACAAAAAGAGACATGTTCAGTACGACATTGCTCCATAAAATTTAATGGCAGGTACTCTTGGAAAAAAAATAACAGCATTCCATCAACAATTATTTTCAAGCAATAAATATGCATTTATAAATAGTGTAAATTTACAAGATTAGAAACATAAATCACAAATTAAAGTTTACTCCTTAGCTATGTGCAACCCATCTTTCTTTGTGACTTGGCTGTTTCTTTTTTCTTACTATTTGAAATAAAAAAACAAAGGACAAACATATAAACTGTTAAAAAAAATATATTACCTTCACATTATAATTCTCCATGTTTCAGTTCTTTTGCCCAAAGAGATTTTCCTAAGAAAGACCAGCTATGCTAGTACTCATTTAGTGGAAAATGAGAAGGAAATATAGTCATGTATCAGCTCATACATGAAAGAGTACAACAAAAGAAAAAAAAGAAAAAAGAAAGAGAAAAGAAACGGAAATAGACACATCAGTAGTCTGAGTGATTTTTGCCAGTTGTGATATATACACAATTACATTACTAATTTGTCCACTTCTTGTTTATAGTTTGTGTATTTTCCTGTAAGGAGTGGTGCTGAGCCAGCCGAAACAGTCAGAACAGAAATGAAGCAGCGCCCCCTCCTGTCCAGCGGGGTCCACTCTCCGTACTTGGCAGGGTTGCATAGACAAACAGCTTGGAGCCAGCAGCCTTTGTGGGATTTGCTACAGAAACCAGTGGTGTGGAACTGGGTCACTTTTCCTGAATATCAGAAAGGGTTATGTTGCGTTCCAGAGGGTGATCCTCAGAACTGTTAATGTTAATGTCAAGACGTGGAGGATGGCAGAGGAGAGGCCTGTCAAGACAAGAGCAAAAGAACAAACAGAATACATTACTTAAGAGCAGAATGAGTCACCTCATCATAAAAGGCAGGACAGGCCTGGCAGAATATTTGAATGACTGAGAAAGCTGAAGGCTGACTCACCAGTGTGAACTGGTCGTAGACGTGTGTGAGGTCCTCTATCTTATACTGCTCCAAAACGACAAAGTTGTCGAGGTTAGGGCTGCCTCGGCGCGCGCAGTCTTGACAGTGCACCACATACGTCTTCCGCGAATTGCTCTCACTGGTGACAAACAGCAGGTTAAAAACCTCAACCTGCAGATGGAATGATAAAACAAAAATGAAGCAAAACCAAGCAGAAAAACAAGGCCTCACATACAGTCGTATGCAAAAGTTTGGGGCAACCATAGTCAAATGATTTTTTTAGTAATTTTTAGTGATTTTCTAAGTAAAAATAAGTTAACATCCTCTAGAAAATACATTTCTGCACGCTTTGTTAAATTCAGCAAATAAACAGTAACTGAATGAAGTTATAACAAAAAGAAAAACTGAAAATGTAAAATGTGAAAAATACACACATTTTATACACATATTTCCTACCCCTCCACAATGTTAAATTCGGCAACTAAATATAAATCGTGCACTAGAAATGGTGCACAGAAAAATGCCGTTTTTAAGTTTATTCCCTGTAGAGGATGTGTCCACTTAGAAAATCAACAAAACATGTCATTTGACTGGGGGTGATCAAACCTGTATGTATGATCGTACAAATATATCCTAATATTTTCCTTCTGTAAATTTAGACTCGGTTTAAGAACGAAACTGCACTGCAGTCTACTCTGTTACTGATAAACCCAAGAAGACCAACTTTCACAATCTCACTATAGAAACGGAGACAGGAATTGAAGTCCAACCATTAAAGGGCCAACCTGAAAGTAAATAACTCCTAATATATTGGGTCTATTACTATTATTTCAGAAAATTCTTTACGAGGATGTTACAAAAATACTGGCTAATTTAACTGGTCAAATTACATGAAACGGCCAAAATTAGTCTGTTTTTAGTGAGCTCTAAGAACAGTATTCTTATTACCACTTGCCAAGCTGGGATAAAGAAATACAATAACAATTACTGATGAAAAGCCATGTATTACAGTGAATTTACCCTGGAGTGGTTGAGGGCTGGTTTTGCGCTTGATGCACAGCACCAATGAGATTACATCATTAACAGCTAACAGCACAATTGTTTTATATGTTTCTGCATTAATATAGAACTCAGCTGATGTGGATATGTATGTCAGGGTTGCTGCAGTGTTTAAAATCAAATTAATTACTTTTCAATACCATTTTGAGAACTCAACACAGCAAAGATAACACCATTTCCACAGCACAACAAAGGACACAATCAAATACCTTGGGCATTAATGACTATTTTATTCAAACCAATTGGCTTAAAAATAGATTTATGCTTCGACGTAACACAATTCTTACAGAGCCTTTTCAATGTATTTAACTTTATTCTGCTACTCCGAACTGCCCCGAAGGATTTCAACTGGATCAGGTTTATTTTAGCCAATACATGATCCATTAAAATATGCTGGGAATAGACATACCTAAAATGTAGTACCTCTAAAGGTAAAAAAAAAAAAATTCAGACACTTTAAGACTTGAATTTAAGGCTCTATTTTAAGGCTTTATAAGACTTTTGAAGGATCTTGTATATATCAAGTATTTTATAATGGCTTTGCATGTGGCTCAGTCAATTAAATTTTAGAACTTGAACTAAGGGGGGGACAACATGGCCAAATAAATAAACCAGATACTTAGATATTTTTACGATATGCAATATGCATCATGATATTTAGTTTTTCTCAGGTTTGATAAGTTGGAACAGAGGGAAAGCACCAGTAGTGCTTTAAAATAGTAAAAATACTATTAAATACTATTAAAAACACAATGATTTGTTATTTAATGTTTATAATTTTTATAGCTTTTTTTTTTTAACGTTTCACATACTGCACTGAATTAAGTCATATCAAGCAGGTCTAATTATGCTCTCTTTTCAGCTGATCAGCATTGTACTGACTATTTATGATATGCTCAGAAAAGTATACAGTGACATGATTTATGATGATAATAATATAGTCATACTAACAATCCCTAAACAGTAACATTTGTTTTAAAACTTTACTCAAGCACAGTTCTCTAGACTGCGTTTTGAGACCTGCACCATACCTCACAAATGCTACAATAATGTGCTGGCTCGTCCTTGGTCCTCCCGTGCCACACCAGCTCCTTCCCTGCAGCTATCAGAGCCTCCCTCAGCATCTGACACTGCTTCAGTGTCCTCAACAAGCTGTACCTATGACCACAGAGAAAAGCATTGACACAATCAGAGCACTCTTTACAAGCTGCTTATATTTAGCACTTTCTACAGTCTGGTAGGGTGAGCATCATGCAAAAGTGAGTCTTCAAAGACTTTGGTCATGAAGTAAATACTTTTATACACTTTAAATACTTCTTATACTTAATTCTTTCACTACAAAACAAAAAAGGAATGACTCCGAGATGCTAATCATGGGTGTGATGCTAAGGATATGTTATGGCCCTCTGCCAGGCTGACTCACTTGATCATCTCAAAGAGCTTGTGGTCTGACACTTTGATGTTTCGGGCCAGGTTCCAGGAGAGGTGAATCATGGGAACGATGGATTTGACACTTTGGAGTTTGTTCCACTCATAGCGCTCCACTGCCAACTTATACTGATGGGCTGAGGTGAGAAGGAGGGTATGACTTTTTAAAGACCAAAAGCATAAATGAATCAATATGACTGATGTCCACCTATATGATTTTATGGCTCCTTTAATGTTAATGGTAAAACATATACCAAAAGTAAGCTTGTCTAAGGCTTTGCACATTCTATTTTTATTATACACAAAGTTCACGAGTGTGAAATGCATCCAAATGTATGTTTGAATAGTTACCAGTGAGAGGGCCTACATTCCAGGCTACGTTATTGCACCAGCCAATGGCCTGCACCCAGTGCACGGTGCCTGTATTGAGCCAGACCAGGTCCCCTGGCCGCTGAATGAATCGGTACACTGGAACATTAGCTTCATACAAGTCTTCCAAGTTGGGCCACCATGAGCCCATCAAGAAGTTTATGTTATTCCTACACAAAAAAGGAACACAATTGTCACAGAGATCAATATGCATATAGTGTGTAAAGAGTAAAGTTTATATAAAAGGTAGTAGAAAGTGCTTCTCACTTACTTTTCACAGAAATCGTTCATAACTCCCCAGTATGGCTCAGGTACAGCAAACCACTCACAGTCTCCTGGGCCAATGTTAATGTTCACAGAACAGAAATTGTTGTTTTCCTGGTGACCTGTACAGTAACAGCAGTGAGATGTGTTATAATCACATTAAACATGCACAGCATAACTATACTATTGTTAACAATCAGGCATGAATTGAAACATGACCAGAATGTTACTTTTGTGTGGCAAAAGTAACACATGTATCTCAATATTTAGTTTTCTATGGATAACAAAACAGTAACAATAGTACATTTTAAAAAGATGCTCTCAAAAAGTAGAAATATAATCACTTTTTTAATCAATATTTTGCTGTGCATCACTACATCCAATTAAATGGATGGACCCCAGCAATGGCAGGATTCAAACTAGCGATCTCCCGGGACAAAACTTTGGACAGATGTGTCACTTAGGAACCTCTGTTAAATTTCTTGTTTCTCTGTTTAATGAAACAAGCAGTTGGTCACTGGTCTAGCATGTCCATAATATAGTCAGAAAGAATACTGGGACATTATTTTTATGATATTGATTAGGGATGCGCAATTGTAATCATCCAAAATTGGAACTGCAAGATTCTTGATCCAAACATATGTCTGGCAATCTGCCAATTTATTTTTTATTTTGGCTGATCTGTGTTGCAATTTATGATATGAATAATGTGAACCTGGTACAGTCACATGCAAAAGCTTGTATACCATGGTCAAATTAAATTTTTTATTGATTTTCTAAGTGAAAAAAGTTAATACATCATCCACAGAAAACTTTAATATGACATTTTCTGCCAATTTTGGTCCATATTTTTTTTTATTAGTTTAAGAAATTGGAAAATTCTAAAATGTGCCATAACCTTTGCACAGACTGTTATGTTTCATTTTTTATCCAACATAAATTCAGCAAATAAATAGTAATTGTGCATTAAAATGTGCAGAGGTCTGTTCTCTGTAGAGGATGTGTTATTGTTTTGTTTGTGAACTTATTTTCACTTAGAAAATCAACAAAACATCACCTGACCAGGGGTGCCATGTTTGTATATGACTGTGACTGTACCTGTAATGTACATTATTATCATTATTATATACCTACACCAAAATGCTGTAACATATTTATGCATGCCTCAATGCAATTACAAAATGAAAGGACAACAAACATAATTTATATGTTATGACTTTGGCTAATACAAAGTACTGGAAATGTGCTATTGTGTCTAAAGTATTCATTTAGCTCACAAAGTGTGAGCTTCTGTTTAAAAACGGCTAATAAAATTCAGTCACTGGGCAACATGAATGTAAAGAAATTGGATCAGAGTCGGCCATAAGAGATTCAGGATCGGTGCACTTCTAATATTAATATATTATTGTATCACACAATGCATAATTACATAATTCCAATCATTAGCAAGTACATGGAAACTTTTCACAGACAGAATGGAGAAAAGTCTATGTATAACATCACAAACCTGGAGTCCTGCTGCCTGGGACCTTCATGTAGAGCTGGACAGTGTTCATGCCCAGGATAGTGTGGCCCACATGACTGAGCAGATTCCCTGCAGACACCACCCTAGCAAACGCAGGCAGCTTACTCAACTCAGCCAGCTGCAGCTTCCACCTGCATGACACAGTAGAGGGTCTGTCAAACACCACAGCACTCTAGCACATACTGCTCACACCACTTCAGCGTCTTCTCTCTCAACACAGTACGTTTCTGTCTTCAAAACAAAGCCTTGTTTACACTACAGTAAAATGGCAGTTTGATATAAATGTGAGGGGTTTAGTCTGACAGGTTTCTATGGGCTAAATTAGAGGTGTTCCCCATTATAAGAATTCTTACAGCTCCCAACAAAAGCCTGTAAGCTTCCAGATGTGTGGTTTAGGAAACACTCTTGGACACTATAAGGTGCACAGACAGGCAAGGTACTACTAAAAATTAAGATTGGATAATAATGGTCTGAATCCATAGGCATCTGTTACACAAGTCATCAGACACTTACTTTCTCTCATCTGACAAGTCAATGTTCGTCCCAAACTTGATGTGCTTAAAGGGACCTCTTCTTCGCCGTACCATACTAAAAAAAAAAAAACAGAAACAAACAAAAAAATTTGAGTTATTTTCAAATGTGATGTGCTTGAGATGCAGTGATGTAACAGCTTGTATCCTCATTAGTGTGCAGAGCTTACTTTTCCATGGGAGCTGATTCCGTATCAGAGTGCTCTTTCTGCCCCTTCTTTTCATTCTCCTCCTGAAAGTGAGCCAAATAGAATGAAATCAGTACAAACCAATTATAGGGTGATGAACTGCTTTTCAACGTTTGACAAGCCTCTTATACAACAATATGCTCAACTTAAACTTATTTCATTTTACATAGACAATTAGAGGTAATATATCATCAAATTTTATGATACTGTCCAGTCAGTTGAAAAAAATGAATAGTCATAATGATGATTTAAGTTACAAGCTCTTAATAAAACAATAATAACTGTATAATGAATTTTATAAATTAAAAAAAAAAGTTAGGTGTTCCCAAAGTTTCTTTAAACTTATTAACTCATTAAACGCTGAGATTCAGTTTGCAACCGACAAGCTCTCTTCCTTTATTGTGCCAGTGCTTACTGTCACACACAACAGTAGCTTTTTCATATTCAAGGACGTGCAGGGTTTTCAGGGTTTTCAGAAAATGAAAAAGGTCGCTGATATTTCTACCTTTAGATTCATGCTGCAACAACACAACAGTATTTCTACCATGACAAAAATCCCTAACAATGCCATAACAGTATTTACAGTTGCATGGAACATTCTGAATACCACTGGGCACCTACTCACAAAGCTTCTTAGAGTAGTAATGCTGATTTAGGATCAGACTCATCTCATTCACTTTGGTACACATCCTAGATCAGCTCTCCTAATCACAGAAGCTTTGCCAATACAGGTCCCAGTCAAATGACTTTTTGTTGATTTAACACATCCTCAAACATAAATATGGCATTTCAGCAAATTTTAGTGCACAGTTTCTAATCATTTGCTAAGTTTAACATTCTGGAAGAAAATAACAATAAAATACTAATATGTTAAATTCTCATAATACAACATGTTAAATTCAGTGCATAAACAGTAAGAGTGCTTTAAAAATGTACAGAAGTGTGGTCTCTCTACAGGATGTGTTTACTTATTATCATGTAGAAAATCAACAAAACATGCAATTTGACTGGGGCACGCAATGTGTATGTGTTACCACTGGCTGCCAGGCAGAGTTATGCCCCATTGCTATGGCTGAGATCTGACCTGTTGTACATGCCAAGCAGGGAAGAGCAACTGGCCACTTTCCCAAGGGGAAAAAATAGACAGCAGGGGGCGCTCTTGCTCTTTAGCACCAGTTTAGTCAAGCATCGCCTGCATACTCAAATCAAGTGATAGGTCCTGGAGATCTACCTTCCATCCACAATTGCTGCACCTGTTTCAAGTAATTAATTTCTTTTACAGGCCGTGAACGGCTGGATCAGATGCGTGTGCGTTAGGTAAGTGGGAGGGGCAGCAGGTTAAATGGAGACTGGAACTAAACTCTGCAGGAAAGCTCCAAGAGGAGGATTGGTAACCACTGCCTTCGACCATGCATAGGCCCCCTCAGAGCTGAGAAGTTATCTAATGGGATGAAGCTTAAGACAGACTTGGGACACCTATAGATGAGGCAAGAGCAAAATAGCAGCCAAACACAGTTTGCTGATGTGGCTGAACAGAAAAAGAAAACACGTGGTCCATCCTGGAATCACAATATCAATATTTTTAGATTCTAAGATGCAAATTCCTTCTGGCCCAAATACAGAACAACAAGGGAGACTTCAATACACCATTTTGCCATACCTAAAACTAGCAGGGCCCATCTAGAAACTGTTGATGTAGGCCAGTGTTTCCATAACACTGGTTCTGGAGTACAACTGCCATGCAAAATGTAGTATTTTCCTGCTCCAGTGCACCCATTCAAACTCACGAAGGGCTTGTTAATGAGATGATTCGTTGGGTCAGGTATATTGGGAGCTAGGAAAACACTAAAATGTGCAGGGAATGGGGACTCCAGGATCAGGGTTGGGAAACTAGGGACATAGGCCACCAACAACAACTGCAGATGACAATCATTTCATTAATTTGTAATTTGAACTTTTAGTAATGAAGTAAGGCCTGAGTAGGAGGCATAAACTGGATGGTGGATTCTTCACAAGAGGCAGAATGTCACCTGTTCTACAACTTTAAGTGACTTAGCCAAGACTCGTTGCAGCAGGATGACTAAACAAGGATTTAGAGCTGATTCAACAACTGAACAAAGCATGGTTAATAAGTAATTCTTACGGAGTCTTGATTCCTGTGTATCTTGTGGGCCTGTTCATATGCTAGGAAATTTGAGATGCTAAGCAACGTTTTGTAGTGATTAGCCTGTTAGCTCACAAAAACGACTAACATATGTTCCCATTAACAGCAACAGCAGATTAAATTCTTGAACAAAAAGTTTATCACCACACATTTGTCAGACAGACATAATATTCTGAAGCCCATGTCTGCATAGCCTGTCTATTACAAGATTGACTGTTAAAGTTAGGAATAAGTCTTTCGACCTAGCAGTACTTTTTCCTCCCACACTCTGATAGGTCAGTCAAAATAATGCAATACGATGCAGCAATGTCCCTTTGCATCAGGCTACCACACATTTTAGATGATTTCACAAGCAGATTTTTAGTAAAAGGATGGTGAGAAACAGTCCTACGTAAATCATACATGCAATCAATCATTCATGATAACAGCAGACAGGACTGACCCGCAGGGACTCCTGGAAGGACGAGGCCTGGTACTGGGCATATTTGGAGATGGTGGTGTGTGAGCGGCTGCTCTCGCAGCGCCACGTCTTCCTGCTGCCCGTCAGGTCCCAGTTCTCATCAGTGGGCTGAGAAAACTGAGTCCTCACCTCCACCAGGTGATCTGGGTTAGCCTCCACCAGAGTCTTAGTGGAGAACAGGCCCAGGTCTGAGAGAGAAGAATGCAGGTGGGAAAGAAAGGGAGAGGGAGAAAAGGTGGTGATTAGCTGAGTCAGCAAGGCACCCCGTCACATCACAGATGCCCAGCAAACACAAAAAGTTCCATTCAGAGATTTAAAAAACATCAGAACAAAATGAAAATCAGAAGTCATTCAAACCTAGTAAACCAGCTAGAGCTGAAAACTGGAATTATATGGAATAATGAAGTGACACTGGAAGTATGACAGGTTGACAGCATGCTATTACACAGAACACATTTTACACAAGTGACAGCACATCCTGGACAACAGCCTGACAACCAATTATGAGAGGAATAAAAGGACATGCCAACAGGCAGAAAAAGGTGGGGGGGGAAGGTAATCAGTCCTATTTTAGAGACACTAAGTATAATATTCATGTGACTTAATGACACCAAGCTAAACCTTCACTTATACATCAGAACTGCTGACAGATAAGTGATATGAATGGAAATGCAGATTATGATAACAAGGCAGCAGTTGACACACAGTTACAGTGCAGCATATGACAAATAATTATTAAATGAATTACTCAGGATATAATCCACCCACCTTATCACAATGGTGCATACAATATCATTATATGCTCCTAACAGTATGAATTCCACATCATATTTAAGCGTGCACCCTTAAATATAGGTTCAAATATGGTTATCTTTACATTATGTGAAGGTTCTTTAAAGTTTTCCATAAAAAAAAAAAGGTTCTTTACTCTCAAATGTCATTTCTTCTGGCCCAACTTAGTCACTGACCCTGATCCTGGAGATCTACTTTCCCGCACTTCAGCTCCAACCCTAAATCAACTGCACCTCATCCACCTAATTACTGCCTTTACAGATCTCTGATTGTTGGAATGAATGTGTTGAACGTGAATGAAGAAAGGAATTCACAAAACTGTCCAAAACGCTGTTGTGCCTTTTTGTTTTTTTTGGTTTTGGGATGTTGCCTGTAATTACAGTTTCAGCTTACAGGTGGTGCTGTTTTGTCATACATGCCCTGGCCATCTACAAACATACGCAGCAAAAGTTCACTTTCACTAGGCTCTTTGCATTTCACTCACCCTTTCCATTTCAACAATTAATACAGAAAGCACCATTTGGTGGCAACATTGAGCTGCTTCCATAAATGGCTACACTTTTTAAGTTAGGGCAGATCAAACAGCAATCATGTGTGTTTGTCTAAGCTTGGCATGCATTCAAAACTGCAGACAAACACACACTTACCCAGCTTGAGTGCTCCAGCAAGGCCTCGGATGACTGTAACAGGGTTGGCCGGGTTCGTGCAGAACTGGTGAAGAGGGGGAAAGAAGGCGTCCCTCTTGCTCTCCAACTGTGGGCAATTTAAAAAAAAAAAAAACTGGTTGAACAAACAAAAGCACTTTGAGAGAACAATAGCTGCAAATGAAAGAGCAATAGGACAAGCATCAATTATGAGCGCACTCAAAGGTGGCGATTCATATTTCAGCTGGTTTTCCATGGCAACACCAGCTTAAAAGTGCACAATAGGGACACAAGCATTAATACAGCAAATAACAATGAAAAAAAAGATCCCACTGAGAGAAAACTGCGACGTTCCAGTCTTCAAGATCGTGAATTTTCAAATCAGTGCTTAGTCTTGCAGAGAAAGACATGAACTTGTAATAAGAGCACATGTGTGGAGAAAACTCGTTAAACTTTTGGTGATGGATTGCATTAAAATCTGTCACAAACAAGGGGAAGCCCCCTCTAATCCCACCCCCAAATTCCTGTGGACTTTTGACAAACATTTTTGCAGTTTTTCCCTTGCAACAAGCCATGTTTCTGTTTACTGCATGTAATGTCTTCTCATAGACACACATCTACATGCTTAATTGGTGTTTTTGTGGGGGGGTTTTATCAACTGTGCTTACTTGCATTACATTCATGTGCTAACGACAGGCTTGCTGTCTGTTAGACAATGTTGACGAGTTCACCATCACCCCCAACAGAGCTAGTATATGGGGAGCCTGACCACCTCATATTCCTCCTACTATACCAAAAATAGGAATCACTGCAAAACACTAGAAGGCTGTGGCAAGTGAGTCCTCCATGACTGGGGGTATGTAAATCTAAATTTTTTAAATAAATAAATGAACATGTTTCAAGGAATTTACTTTTGGGCAGTAAAATTCTACATTCAATAAAAAAAATAATAATGGAAGACTTCCAGATCTTTCAGTTGCTCGAAAACAGACAAGTTTTAGGCAGTATAACGCTACTGCTACTGACCACTGATTGGTTGGCGAGCTATTCAGCTCGAGTAAAGCAGCTTGTGCTCACTGTCATCATAACGTACGCTGTTAAGGCACTGTTAACCTACAACTAGTGGTCACAAGTTTTATTTTTATGATGTCCTCTTTTGAAGTGCACTCTTCTGTACAAAATGATATTTACAAACCATAGTTTTGCACAAAAGCTCCACAGAAACCCATTCATTTTGGACTCATTCCCACATTCAGCCCAAAACTTTTCATGAATGCCCCCAGATGCTCTCATTGCAAGATCATGTCTGGCCTCATGACACTAATCAGTGATGCGCTGAAGGATGTATTAAGTAAAACCCACCATTTACTCCACCCTTTACCTTGTTTCTTCCCCAACCATTTCTCACTGGTTTTAGGAAACACTGAAAAACTGTCTTGGAGAGCTGTTGTGTTTTCCCTGTTTCAGAACCAACCCATTAAGACAGTTTCCCAGACCCAGACTAGGCCTAAGCCCAAACTAAAAGGCTTTTATTTTCCTTTTAGTCCCGCAATAATGATTCACTACTGGCACTGCAATTTAATCTGAGACTAGACTTAATGCTTTTCTGTTAAACTGACCTATAATGTATTAAATTAAGCAGTTGGTTCATTGTAACACAGCATAAATCTGGTTTAATAGAGCTAAAGCTGAAACAGATCCTAGAAAACACTAAACTGTGCGGGCCTGCAGTCCACCAGGTCAGACTAATGTCGCTAATGTTAAATCATTTTTTTAACCACTCTGTCAATTAGGTGCACACGTACGAGACCAGACACTAGTCTGGTGACTGGCTGTCTAAATGACATCCTGCATACATCTCAGTGCTTCTTGATTAGTCTATAAGCCGTTGCGGTCAGTAAGTATTATACCCACTTCCAGCAACTCACACTCATTTCTGGCTTAATACACATCTACTTTTGGTTTGTAATTTAAAAGACGACATGGGGGAAAAAAGCATTGTTCAGGAAATCACTATTGAATTCCAACACATATTTGGGCTTTGCTTTATCAAACTTGCAGTCCTAAAATGTTTTTTATCAGGATGCGCACATTGACATTTGCCATGAAATACGAATCTTATTACACAGCAGCGATGTTCTCTGCACAAATGGCTTTTCTAGGCTTTATACTGGATTCAGCAAAAACAAGACACAGCATTTTAAAGGCTATGAGAAGATTTTTTTTTTTCTAGTTATTTTTTTGTTTTAAAATTTCAAATTTAATTTTGTATGACATATGTGGTTTCCTTAATATCACACTAATTAAACCAACTAGCTCTGTCAACAGTGACAGAGTTGAAGAGGAAAGTGAAAGTCTGGCTCGGCAAAAGTCTGGCTTGAGAAAACAAAGAGAACGATAAAAGAAAACTGCTAAACAGAGGAAAATGCAGGAAACTTTCCCAGGAACGTACTGGCTTCTGTTCACAAATAAGCTCTCCTGATAATTCCGCAGTAATTGCACTCAGTATGTTTCTGTCAACTGTCACATCAATCTTCTCAGGATGTTGACACATTCACACATAAGCCAATTAATTACCATCACATTCTCACAGAAATTTGCAAGTGAGAAAGGGGCAAAACATGGCTTGAAGGATATTTCCTCGAGAGAATCCAGAATAAAACATGGCTCAAGCCTCACAAAGTGGAATAAAACAGCATCAGCTACATGTCCCAAAATAAAGCAAATAAAGAATGTTATACTCACATAAATACTAGGGGTAGGGGGATTGAGTTTGTCCTTTGGTAGTGGAGGGAACGGTGAAGGGGGAACCCTTGGAGGGGGACACTTGTCCAATAACACGCTGTTGCTGGATATTCCATTCTTCCCAAGGTTTCTGCATGAGGAGATAAGGTATTTTTATATGTCCTATTATAGTGCACTTCATCTGAATATTTTTATTCTAATGCAAATTATCCACTGGAGTAAAATCAGGTCACAATTCATTACATTCCCAGCTCGGTAACATCTTGTGATAAAGGGTCTTAGCAAGCAAGTGGGAATTATTACTTACTAAAATAGTAGTTTTACTCATCTTTAGGTAAGATCAGTAAAATAGGTAACCTGTATGCGAGTTAGAGGTGTTATGGTTTGACATTTTTACAGTATGATGACCTAGAAAAATATCAGATTCATAGCATTAAGTAAAAAATTTAAAAATGCATAAGAAGGTAGTGAAAATGAAATGAAAGTTATAAAACATGAACACCATTAGCACACGCTTTTGTTTTAAAACATTTCATTGGTATTATCTTTAAACCTTAGTTTTGAACAATGTCTTTATCTTTTTCTATACAACACAAAAAACAAAAACACTGAGCTAATTCAGTAACATATTTTTGAGAATGACTTTCCTGTAAAATCTTCCAGCCTAATTACATCCCATTGTCATTGTGAAATAAAGCTCTGATCCAGGCAGCTAACTTAGCTGACCTTTGTGTACTAAACTTCTACATGACAAGTTACAAAAAGGTACATCAAAAATACATGAAGTACATAAAATACATATAAATAAAGTATGTAAAGGTCACTTCATTCAGAATGACTGAGCTGAGGAAAAACTGTAGGATGCAAGCAAAGCTGTTGTTTGGTTTATTTATGGCTGTTAACACAATGTTTTCTTTTTGTAGGGCTGAAGGAAACTGTGTAAATTCACTGCAAGGTATTGTTATGAAATGCATCATGACTTTTTTTTTTTTAGGTTTGGTAAGTTGGAATAGAATGCAACAGCAGTGTAAAATGTGATTTTAATTCAGTGTATCTCACACTGCACTGACCAAATTACACTGTGTTGAAACATGCAGTTAGTGTTTTTCAACTACTAACGATATGCACAATGTGCTCAGAAAAGCTTACTGTGACATAATTTATCACTCTAACAATAAATGTCTTCATATCGCCCACCTACTAGCAAAGCAGCATGTGTTTACCACAGACGTGCACTGCAAAGCCAATCTACTGGCTCTAAGACGACCACGTCCCCCCAAACTGAAATATGAAGGAAAAAAAAAAGGGGTGTTTTGGAGTCGAGATGGAGGAGGATGCAGCTAAAATAGAAAGACAACCACTGGTTTAAGGAACTATAACTCATAAGAAAATAGGCAGAAACGCACTGTAATCAGCATTTTGAAAAAGCCAACAGTGGGGTAACCGTCTGATTAACCGTGAATCCCTAACAACCCTAAAACTTGCATTATGACAAAGAATCACTGATCCTATAAATCATATGGGTCCAGTGAAGTCTCATTTTTGTGAAGTCTAAATAACCGACAAATGGAACCTTGTCAGGTCAATAACACCAAGTTCAGCGGACATTAGGTTCATGGAATTTTGACAGTTTCTAGTTATATCAACATTAACACTCCAGTCAAAACAAATAGCATGCTTTCAGAGAGTGCACTTCGGAAAACGCTCAATTTTACACAACTCAGAAAGGTCAAAAGTTCAGCAGATGAGGCTTTTCAAAATAATTATAAGTTGAGCTGCATGAGTGCTTAGAGAGTGGCTTTGGAAAACATTAGCTTTATTTTGGGAGAGAGCACTGGAGTCTTGACAGAACACTGACCATGAACTGTGAAAAAACAAAAGCAATATCCCTTTAGAAGTTCTGGCATCTCTGGTTTGGATCCTAACAACTAAGCTACCTCAAGATTTGATCACCACTTTTCAATACAAGGCAGTATCGATGTTAATTTTAGTGTAACTTGATTCTGGATGTTATACAACATTTTCAGTCATTATGAAATCAGTAGCCATCATCATTCTGGACACATCTAACATTTTTTTTTCTACTACTTATTCAAAACCTATGATATTGCACAGCACCATCATACTCAATTCATTTTCTACATTTATCTGAAACACTGATTTCAAGCTTCTGAACAGTGATTTCAAACTTTCAAAGAGTAGTGTATGCCCAGTTAAAGGGACACTACAGCCAGCCTCCCGCCTCCCATTTAGCTGGTGAATGCAGAAGGAAGCCAGACAACTAACATTACTGCTAGAAAGCTTGAGAACACATTTCGAAACAGCCAAATAGATAAGTTAGTTTTTTAAAAAAATCTCTAGATACCTCATCAGTCTGGCCAGAACGTTGCTTTAAAATCTACCAGAATATCAATCTTTATTACGAGTGGGCAATATTATGATATTACTGTGACAAATTACTTTGCAATATGCACAATATGGGTATGGAAACTTGTAGAACACTGACCAATTGCACATATCCCAAAAATAAAAAACAAGCTACCCTCTTTAAAATATTAAAGGTACCTAATCTGTGAGCTTAATAAATATTTTAAGTATTGTTGGCACATCATCTAAGATGTTTTAAGATGCATACTACTTAGCAACAAAATATGCACAGTCAAAAATGGACATAGAAAATCTGTGACTAGAACTTGTCCATCCCACTATACCTTGCTATTCGTTATTGGCATTACAAGTCAATCAAAATTCAGGGCTTACGCCCATCAGCCAGCAAGCAGACCTCTGGTTGTTCCAAATGCACTGCTATCACTTCTTTCATTATGCCGTTCAAACAGGTTAAAACCTACCTGCAGGCTTTAAGCACCTCGCTGGAGCTGGGGTAGATGGAGACAGAGGACCATGGAGCAAGCGAAGTGGGTGACCGTTTATGACAGACCAGGGGAGAATCCACCTTCATGGGGCTTTGGGAGTCCTCCAGGCCTTTGCCATTGAGTTTGGGGCTGTTAAGGCTGCCAACACTGTTCTGAGTGGCATGGTGCTCTGTGGATTTGGGTGAAGGCGTGGCTGTAGACATTGCAGAGCAGGGTGAGGAGGCCACAGAGTTTTCTTGCGTCTTTGAGCCCACGTGCAGGGCCAAGTGAATGTTGTTAATCTTTGTGCCAGCAGCCTCCACCCCACCGTCCTTACTATTATCACAACTATTGGCTTTTCCCATCAACAAGGCCGAGAGCTTAGGATTGTCTGAACTAAGTACACCTGGTGAGCGGGGCTCTGCTGCAGCAGCATCTGCCAAGCCCTGATGGACGTGATTAGGCAGTCCTGCAGTGGCAGTGCTGTTAGGCGTCCCCGTGGAATGCCCATTTTCTGAAGGCTTGCTCTCTTTGGTCAAGGCTGCAGCGCCTTGCTGTCCACCTGAGGTAGCAGAGTGCAGGAGAGGGGGAGAGGGAAGGTGATTGAGAGGAGCCTCCTGTGCTGACGCACCACTGACTGTGCCGGACTGTTCGAGCTGATTTAGAACGCCGATACTGGCTGCCTGGCCAGGCGGAGAAGTCCCAGTGGAAGAGGCAGGCCGTTCTCCGTTAGGACCTGCCAAATGCGAACCTGGACTTTTCTTAAGCCCCTGGCAAAAAAGACAAAGTCAAAGACAAAAGGAATGAGCACTGGATTAAAATCACAATAGCTGTCTTCAATCCTCAAATGTGAGTTCAGTTCTCAAATGAGAGTTCAAAGCAACGAAAAAAAAAATTCAGAATCAGAATCCCTTTATTTGCCAAATGTACACATTACACAGGAATTTAACTTGGCAGGTCAGTGCAAGAGCATATTGAGTGCCAGCACGTGTCAGAACCAGGTGTCGCTTGGTTCTGATTTTAATGGAGCGGTTTTCCTGAGGGGAGTCTCTGAAGCAGATTCTGGAGTCATGCAGCTCTTGGACTGGATTAATGATAGGCTAATATTAATCTCTAGTTTGATATCACTTCTGAAGTACTGGGAGATACTGGTTCATTCGACACACCAGTTAAAATTCTTCGTAAGGAGTTTTATCATTACTGCCACAAATAAATGCAAATAACAAAATCTATATTCAGTGCAAAGCAGGTCCCTCACCTCTCGTGTAGTGAGTTTAGTCTGAGGTACACTATATTGTCAAAAGTATTCACTCACCCATCCAAATCACTGAATTCAGGTGTTCCAATCACTTGCATGGCCACAGGTGTATAAAACCAAGCACCTGGGCATGCAGACTGCTTCTACAAACATTTGTGAAAGAATGGGTCGCTCTCAGGAGCTCAGTGAATTCCAGCGTGGTACCGTGATAGGATGCCACCTGTGCAACAAGTCCAGTCGTGAAATTTCCTCGCTACTAAATATTCCACAGTCAACTGTCAGTGGTATTATAACAAAGTGGAAGCGATTGGGAATGACAGCAACTCTGCCACAAAGTGGTAGGCCACGTAAAATGACAGAGCGAGGTCAGCGGATGCTGAGGCACATAGTGCGCAGAGGTCAGCAACTTTCTGCAGAGTCAATCACTACAGACCTCCAAACTTCATGTGGCCTTCAGATTAGCTCAAGAACAGCGTAGAGAGCTTCACTGAATGGGTTTCCATGGCCGAGCAGCTGCATCCAAGCCTTACATCACCAAGCGCAATGGAAAGCGTTGAATGCGGTGGTATAAAGCGCCGCCACTGGACTCTAGAGCAGTGGAGACTTGTTCTCTGGAGTGACGACTCACTCTTCTCTGTCTGGCAAATCGATGGGCGAGTCTGGGTTTGGCGGTTGCCAGGAGAACGGTACTTGTCTGATTGCATTGTGCCAAGTGTGAAGTTTGGTGGAGGGGGGATTATGGTGTGGGGTTGTTTTTCAGGAGTTGGGTTCGGCCCCTTAGTGCCAGTGAAAGGAACTCTTAATGCTTCAGCAGACCAAGAGATTTTGGACAATTTCATGCTCCCAACTTTGTGGGAACAGTTTGGGGATGGCCCCTTCCTGTTCCAACATGACTGCGCACCAGTGCACAAATCAAGGTCCATAAAGAAATGGATTAGCGAGTTTGGTGTGGAAGAACTTGACTGGTCCTGACCTCAACCCAATAGAACACCTTTGGGATAAATTAGAGCAGAGACTGCGAGCCAGGCCTTCTCGTCCAACTTCAGCCTCACAAATTCACTTCTAGAAGAATGGTCAAAAACTCCCATAAACACACTCCTAAACTTTGTGGAAAGCCTTCCCAGAAGAGTTGAAGCTGTTATAGCTGCAAAGGGCGGGATGTCACTCAAGTTCATGTGTGTGAAGGCAGATGAGTGAATACTTTTGGCAATATAGTGTAAGTTGGTCTAGTTTGCTGTAGAACAAGCAGAGTGTAAGGAGTTAACACAGCGCCATCTTAAGGCCTGTTCCATTACTGTATTAGCTCAAGCGAAGGGTGTTAGATGAGCCCTCGGAGGGCTCGAGTGAACACCAGTGTCAACTTCAGCAGCAGTACCTGCCCAAAAATCTTTGGGATCTGACACATTTCCCTTTTCAAACCCCAAAACAACGGCAGACAAAGCTCTTTATAAGCCACAGCAGTAAACTAGTTTAAAATGCTCAACATTTCAAAACCATAACTTTTGATTTGCTGGGCTTTAAACTACAAACTACTCCATCTGTTATACATAAACAGGGCTTGAAACGGGGCTCCAGTCTCTTGAGGTTTGTTGTAAGCCATCACTCTAGCATGGAGACTAGCCAGCTTTCTGTGCACACCACCAACGGCACCCCTCGCTCAGCCAGCTGCTTCAGGCGATGCCGTGGTCTCCTGGCCCTCGCTGCAAGCCGAGAGGCTCCACAGCTTCAGCTAATGCCAAGAGCATGAATGACAAATATTTACTAAACTCCAGACAAATGACTTAGGTTTAGCATCTATAATGGCTTTGAAAAAATATATATCCATAAATACACTAAACCATAATATATACCGCTAGAAACCTTAAATCATACCATGATATAAATTACTGGCCATACCACCCACTACCAGGGACAGCCACAGGCAGGCCTTTACCCAGATTGATCACAATAATAGAATTTGATGTTTTCTCAGAAAGTGTGGCCACTGCCATTCAAAGCACTATGCTACTAAACAGCTACTGTTTCTATTTGTCATTGCCTCAAACCTTCAGTCTGTTATTAGCATGATTCCATCCCATAGATTGTGCTGATTTCCACCTACTCATAGCCCTCCCAAAAAGTTGTTGACATCAAGGCTGCAAAGGCTGAAATGGGCTTTATGAAGAAGTACAGGCAAACATCTAACTCAGTGAATGAACAGTAAGCCATAAATGGACCATAAATCACAGTCCACTGTCATTACTGTTATTACTACAACTGGCATGGCACCATGGAAATATGTTTTTGGCTTCAATATGTTTAGGTTTTTGTGTTGTCTTTCCTTGTCCGTATACACTTTTAACTTAGTTAAAATACAAAACAAACATGACTGTGGTGAGCGGGCGTATGATTTAAAGTCCTTATAGTTAAGGGTGTTGTAGTATTTGTTGTGTTTGTGAAACTGAATCAAGCATGCCAGAAACGCCTTCACTTAAGATGCTATTTGATCCAGCAATTTCTGCTGGTATCAGCCTGATATCAACATTACTACACCAGTAGAAAAATGCTACCGCATTAACTCACCTGAGAGGAGTGTTGGCTTTTCCACGGCAGGTCGTTCACGTTGCTGCTGCTGCTGGTGGGAGTTGTGCATTTATGAGGTAGTGCGTTTTGCTCTAGGTAAGGCACATTTCCATTGCTCCCCTGTCCTGGTATGTGATTATTGCCCACAGAGCGTCTCTCTGTGTGACCCAGGGCTCCAGCAGCGCTGCAGGGGGAGGGGCTCGCAGCGACAGGTCCGTTGGCCATTGGTTGAAGAGGGCGGGGGGAATGAATGGAGGGCTGAGATGTTGCGGGTGTACTGGAGAGAGCAATGTGTGGGTGGTGTGGTGAAGAGAGCGAGTTTGAATCTGGCAGTGAGGGGTCAGCTACAGGGCCATTGGATAAGGTGGGCCGCACCTCGCTGACAGCATTCAGTCTCATCTGTTCAAAAGAGAAGCGATATTTTTCACCTGCTGCAGCAATAAAAGAGCCATACACATTCTTCTTGTACATCCCAATTTTGTTGGGACGTTGTGCAAAATTGCCCACAATTCCCATTTTGAATATTATGCAAAAAAGACATTTCAAAAAAGCTGGGACAGGGACAACAGAACACTGATAAAGTTGTGTAATAATTAAAAAGAAAGAGTCTTTCAGAAGTAAAGATGGGGAGGGGTTCACCACTCTGTGAAAGATTGCACAGGCAAATAGTGAAACAAGTCAAGAATAACGTTTCTGTATATAAAATAGCAAAGAACTTAGGGATTTTATCATCTACAGTACATATCATTACAAGATTCAGAGAATCCAGAGAAATCTCTTTATGCAAAGAACAAGGACGCAAACCAATATTGGCTGGCCATGATCTTCAGGACCTCAAGTGGCACTCGTTAAAAAAAAGACATGATTCTGCAGTGGAAATCACTGCATGGGCTCAGGAACACTTCTGAAAACCAATGATAGTGAATGCAGTTCATCACTACATCCACAAATGCAAGTTAAAACTATAAACAGGATCCAGAAATGCTACCGTCTTCTCTGGGCCTGAGCTCATTTACAATGGTGAAAAAAAGTGGAAGTGTGTCCTGTGGATCAAAATTTGACATTTTTTTTTTTGGGAAATCATGGACACTGGGTCCTCCAGGCTAAAGACCACCCAGCTTGTTATCAGCAGCCAGTTCAAAAGCCAGCATCTGTGATGGTATAGGGGTGCATTAGTGCACATGGCAGGGCTGACCTACACATCTGAGAAGGCACTATTAGCGCTGAACAATATATATATACACAGGTTTTGGCAACATATGTCGCAATCTAGGTGACTGCTTTTTCAGGGAAGGCCTTGCTTATTTCAGCAAGACAATGTCAAACCACATTCTACACGTATTACAACAGCATGACTCCACAGTAAAAGAGTCTGGGTGCTAAACTGGCCTGCCTGCAGTCCAGACCTGTCAGCCATTGAAAACATTTGTCGCATTATGAAACAAATACTATGACAAAGGAGACCCCGAACTATCAAGTTGCTGAAATGCAATGTTGAACAAGAATTGGAAAACATTTCACTTTCAAAACTACAGCAATTGGTCTCCTCAGTTTCCAAACGCTTACAGAGTGTTGTTGAAAGAAGAGGTGATGAAACACAGTGGTAAACATGCCCCCATCCCAACTTTTCTGGAAAGTGTTGCTGTCATCACATTCAAAATGGGCATATATTTTTCAAAAAAACAAAAAACTTCAGTTTTTTCCTCAGTTTCAACACGATGTTGTCTTTGTACTACTTTCTATTCAATATAGGGTTTACCTGACTTGCATACTATTACATTCTATTTTTATTTACAGTTTGAACAGCATCACAACTGTCCTAAAAAGTTATATTTTACTTTTTCCCTTAAAATCCACTTATGAAATCAGTGAGGGTTTATGTACCACAGATGGTCATTATTCATTTTTACATGACCATTTTCTTTAGAATTAAAAAGGTCTTTTGTTACTACGCCTTTAGGCTCACCAATTTAAATGACTTCTGCTCTGGTTGACTGCACTTGGTTCAAAATGTATCCCTCCTTGTAACTTTAACTTGAATGAGTGGGGCTAAACTGCCGTAGGCCAAATAGATGGCTGTAAACGCACTGTTTTTAGTGGTATCACAAACAATAAACTCAAAATGAGCTGTTTTTGCAGCTTAGTTTCACTATATGGGCTCTCTGGAGTGGAGTGTGTACGGTACATTTTCAAACTCTAACCGTGTTTACATACATCAAACTTCTTTTAAAAATGCAAGTAAAATGAGTTTTTCCATGACATGACATAAATCCTCAAGAGAAAATGCATTCAACGCATTTCAAAATGTGTTACTTCATGCAATGTGGACTGTCACTGGCTTCATACCTGCTGATGCTGCTGCATGACTGCAAGCTGCTTTTCCAACTGGTCCAACATCTGCAGCTCAACTGGCTTCAGACTTGCCTTGTTCGCCCTCAACTTCTCCAACAGCTGTGAGAACAAGAAAACTGTACGTTCAAATCTGTTCACTACATATAGCCTAAAAGAATCAGAGAAGGCAAGTAAGTCTACAAACCTGAAGCTTCTGGGGAGTCAAGTACCAGCTGGGGATTTGGTGTTGGACTGGGCTGTTTGTCCAAGAATCTGGAGAGTTCTGTCCATGTTTGCAGAAAAGGGGAAAACTCATTTTAACACCACATGTAAATGTTCGTCGTAGCAGTAATAGATTAAACTACTATCATAACATGACTTTACTTTGTACCTTGGATGGGCTTGTGGTCCTCTTTCTTTTGGCAGGGCTGGAGTGGTTGTCCCCCTGGCTAGTGGAGAGTGCGTGTGGAGGCAGAGACTGACTGGGGAGCTGACCCTGGCCTTCGCTACGCTGATGAGCTTTACATGCTTGCTATGGGTAACAGAGTACAAAACAGCAGCTGGGAGATGTTTGCACAGCAACAAGCACTTCAATATACATGTAAATGCTTGATATGTGCTCGGAAGTCCAGAGCCATCCTAAATGCACTACCAAATTAACATTAATTTTGGAAGACTACACATTAGTAGTGGATAATGCTAGCTAAGACACATTTGCTTGCAGTCTACAAGCTCTTATCAGATCACAATAACCTCAGATCTTAAAAACTCCAGTTGTCTGTTTAACCTTTATTGCTCTTTTCATAAACTTTCCAAGCTTTGCACTGTGTGTTCAAGTTTTTTTTTTCTTGGCAGAAGTAATGGGATGACATGAACAACAAAAAACAGCCTTGTATTAACACCATTTGACAATGAAATATTCGTATTGATGCTTCAATGTCAAACAGTTGCCCAAGAAAAAAAGTTAACAAGAACAAGGAAAGTTTATGATTTGTTTCAGACCAACAGTCCTCTAAGAATATTCTCCACACATGATGAAACACCCACACCACCACTGACCCTGTTTTGTACGCCGTCATTTTGTTGTTTTGCACGCAGTCATTTTGTTGTTTTGCTTACTCTGAACAGTAACAAGGGTGTTCAGATGGCACCTTTTTAAATGCGAGGCACAGATTGTCTCATGCTTAAAAAGAAGCAACACATGGTTCTTAGGGAGAAGGTTAACACATTTGATTGACAGGTAGGTAAACATGAGACAGTGATTTGAGAGATTGCCAAATACCAAGACCAGCGACAAACACATCAAAACTGACAAGTACAGTACTGTGCAAAAGACAGAGACTACACTTCATCTATTTAATTTATAGTCAAAATGACCAAGAGACACTGTCATTATCAGACAATCAGTAGCTTATTCTTTGAGAGATGGTAGAAAATCAAGCTTTACTCTTGTTTCAGACCTGAAAAAAATCCATAGTTGTTTTAATCCATCCTTCCAGTGGGAGAAGACAACTTGGTGCCATGGGTCTGAAAGGAGCTTGCAAATCAAACAAAGAAGCTGCTGTGTCCTCAGAACAATGGACTGACCAACCCAGAGTCCAGAACTCAAAAATCATCTAACACGCTTTAGAGGTGTGTAAAAATATCCCTGCAGATTTCTTTGAACAACTGAAAGCAAGTTAACAATGGAAGCTGCAATAAAGGCAAAGCATGGACACAGTAAATACTGAAAAAAAATTGATATTATATTAGTTGTTGAGGTTTCTGCGCAATTTTTTGTCACAAATGTTTTTGTCTTTCTTCCCCAATGTTGAAAAATGAATAACTTAAAGTAGTTAAAGGTCAATAAACTGGAAATTAAATAAATGAAGAGCGGTCTCAGACATTTGCACAGTATTGTATAACAATACAATTTTTTTTTTTCTAGATTCAGACTGGGGTAATCTTTGGGTCAAGCATTGTAGCACTTCAGGTGTCTGAAAATAGCCAAACGTTAATTTTTTCTCCATGATGGAAAAGTGACTAGAGAGAAGGGGTCCTTAATATTGACTGGTAAGCTGTGAATGGCGAATAGCGTGCTTTTGCAAACACGCATCATGATTACTCATCATTAAAACTTAAACGCATAGTTTAAAAACATGACACGCATTGTGCTTCACAGTCACTGTGCGTGTTGCACCACAGACACCAACAAAAGGAAGTGTGCTTCTGAGAGTTTGAAAAACGTGATGTGAATGACCCTTTATGCTGTAAAAATAAACGACTGACGTGTAGTGCTGATGAGCTCTATGATCAAATGATTATTCTTATTAGAATTATTGGTGCTAAAAACCTTTAACATTAAGGTGTGTCTACTGATGTACAAATACATAATTCTGATAGAAATTCCTTCTCACTCAGAGCAAAAGAACCCCACTTAAGAGAATACACACAATAGACGGGTGTGTGGCTACAGAATAGTCTAGCTGAGCTGGGCTCACCTGCTGTGCTGTGTTCAGGGCTCCCTGTCTGGAGGTAAGCTCTGCTGGGATTGGTAGGCTCCATGCCTCCTCAATACTAGGAAGTATTTTACTTTTACTCGGTAGACTACCTTGTTGTAGATTACACAACTGAGCCTAGAAAAGATTGTGTAAAAATCACAATTGGATGTATAAATGGTTGGTTATCTAGGCTGAAACTTGCTATGACATAAGGCACATTATCTTAAAGGTAATACATTCAGATTTATAATTCAAGCTGAAATACTTCAGGCAATGTAATGGATATAAGCATCTGAATACCGATGGAAATGATCATTCTGAATGCTGATAATCAACAAAAACAAAGCTATGGTATCATGCTAATTATTTTTAAAAAATAATAAAAAATACAAATCGGTGTAAAACTGGGAACACAATATAACGTAAAATATGATCCGCACAGAAACTGGTCATATGTAAAAATGGAACATCAAGACACTAACGTCAGTACAGTCTATTAGATTGGTTACTACCTGTAGACATTTAATACGCGCAGTGAGGGCAGTGATGTTGGTGCAGGACTTGCTGCAGGTGGCGTTAATGTAGCATTTGATGGCATCCTGTGGCTGGTTGCAAGATTCGTACAGCGTGCCCAGGTCCATCCAGGCAGCTGCATGGCTGTGGTCCAGCTGTACTGCACATATATAGGCCTGAAGTGCATCCATTGGCTGGTTTTGCTGCTGATACAACACTCTGAGGACAAGGCCAGCAGAAATGATAGAGAGAGAGAGAGAGATGATGATGAGGAGCCATGAAAGTAGAGTTTACCAAAGAGAGCAGCTAGAGACACTAAAGGAAAGGTACAAAGGAAGAGAATCTCAAAGACAGACCCTGAATCCATTATATCTCAAGCAGTCGCAACCAAAGAAATGAGCAACAGTTCCTATTTGACATAGCAAGTTTATCATTCAGGTTGAGGAAAGTTTTTGAATTGTACACAACCATGCAATGGGTTCTGCTAGACAGGCCTACTAAAACTGAAGCATAAGCATGTAGTTACAAACAGTGACGTGTGAGACGTCTTCTCAAGAAGACAACTAGTTCGGACGACGTACGATATCGAAAGCAAACATACACAAGCGATAAGACAGCCAGCTATTTCATCCGCGTTCTCTGAGAGAAAGCATGATGCACAGACTGTGTGAAGAAATCTCAGACACACAAGCAAGGGTGAGTGATATGGCAAAAATATGATACCACAATACCGCCACATAAAAAAAAAACTATAAATACAAAATCATTTTGATTCCACATTTTACATACTGCACTGCACTAAAACAGAACTAGTTTTTTTTTTTTTTTAATGAAACATGGAGTTGGTCTGTGTTCATGTACTTTCAGTAGCCCATTATTGCATATTTCAGTCATGTTCAATGTCTTTATTTTCGGTCATGAGCGCATTATAGCCTAGTTGTCACCCTGTCTGTTTAAACAAAATCAGGTTCTTATACAGGGTAAGTTTAATACCCTTTCAGGCTGTTTACATCATATACATGCTAAGACCTAGCTCAATCTATCAGTGTTCCATGGTTCACACAAGGAGAACTTTTTAATGTCTCTGTGCTTTACCACAAAATTAAGCTGATGTATGCTTTTAAGTATGTGTACATTAAGAATTTTACAATGACATCAAAAATGGCTCAGCAAATAACATTTCAGAACCAGAACTATTCATTTTATAACTGATATTTTGATGGGTCGCACTCTTGATTTAAGATTTGCTGGTTAATAATTAACTGGTAACTTATTCTTTTGACGGATAAGCAACTGTCATTTGTCAAAATTCACATCCCTACACCAGTGTTTCTGCTGCATCTGTATTGTACCATTGACAATGTCTGCTTCATCTTCTGTATCTGTCCAGTTTTCCTTCTGTAGGAAGATGATAGAGTAACAACTCATTCATTTAGTACAGCAATCTGACTTCCTGCCAGTTCAGCCTTCCTATGACAGACACTATCAATGTGATGTTTCATCAGCCCTGACTCAATTTAAAATGATTCAAAATGAAAAAAATGATGACTCCTCTAATGCTAGACAGATTCAGTCAGTCTTGTAGGGCTACATTTTCATGGAAGATCTATGCTCACTTGTAAGGCAATAATTTTCACTAAGCTAACAAGAACACTTGTGTATTGTGCTAGCAGTGTGACAAGCTAGATAGCCAGCCAGATAAAGTTTTGAATAAAGCAGCCATCTACTGACTAAGTTACTAGATTCAATCCCTGTGAAAAAAAAAAAAGCTTTGGGCTAAATGTGGGTGGGAACACAGACTTACTAGAGCAGGAACAAACTGTGTGTAAACTTTCTAAACCAATCCAACACTTCATGAAGGCTGTACGCAAAGTTGGGGGTGATGGTGCGCTCATCAACATCGTCTGACAGACAACAAGCATGCTGTTATAGCCATGGAGCATTGGCTGAAAAGCCCTCTCAAAGACCTTCAGTTAAAGGGGAAGTATATGATTTACTTTATAAACATTTTAAAATACTCTTCACATCCCGATAGCAATCAATAAATCTAATGCTGTGAGAATAAAAAATAAAAAAATAAAAAAAAATTTAAAAATCTTATCCGTGGAGGTCTCAGAACTATAACAATCCTGCCCAGTCACTTCATTCGAATCAAATGAAATATTAGGATGGCCTACATGCCTGTCTACCTACCTACCCTCATGACCTGCCCACATGGGCACGCTCTGCATGCGTACTCATATGCAGCTAGCCCTCCCCTCCCCAAAAGTAACAAGTTATCCCCAGATGTATTCTCATTACAAGATCTGATCTGGTCCTGCAGGACTACCAAGACTCAAACATGTGACAGCAGCACCTTTATGAGAAACACTGACGTATCAAATCAGTCAGAACAAGTAACAGTTTTCCGTAGAATGTCCACAACAGTATGACGGTAAAGCAAGCAGTCACTGGAGGCGGCACCGACAATGCGCACCGTTTATGACCTTGACCATCAAGCTGATCATTGAGTATAAGTAAGAAACCTTATGGTGCTTACCCTATTGAACACCATGTATCAGCACTGGCCTCTGACTTATCGATAGATTGCCGGTAAGAGATGAAAGCATCCTGGACCTTTCCAATACTGGAGTAGCACCTGTGCGAGATGGGGAGAAGATAATCAGCATGTCATCAGTGATATAATGTGCGCTATGGGGATGTATTGTATTTGAGGTGTATTTTCTCATTTTATCAATACTGGAATGATCAGACTTTAGTAGTTATGTTTTTATTAAACAGAAAATTCTTCATAAGAAGAAAAACAAGTATGACGTCAAATATCCAACGATCATAAATAAATGATTTAATAATCATAAATAAAACTAGAGATTTGGATTTATATTTAGGGTTTTTCAGGTGGCAGCAATGTAACAAAACTAACTTATCCTTTTTCTCAATCTAATCTATCTAGCAATTTGTGATATGATCAGCAAGTGACATTATGTGCTTCTGACACATATAGGCTTCATTATCTGAGTGATAAAAAACTGCATCTACAGGCCAATCTTTTCAGGAAAGTGGGGGTAATGGGGGAAACTCAACTCCATGCAGCCAGCATGCTAGGCACCTCTCTTGAGACTGTGACAGCCTGACTGGCTGCCAACACAAACTGTTTAGAGCTTAAAAAACAAAGTGTCTTTATAGTCAGTATCTTAGCTCACAAATATAACCTTTTAATTTAAGGGAAACGTAAAATCTACTAGTTAGATTAGACAAACACAGATAAAATCCAGACACATCATTATACCCTCTTAAAAATTCTACATAAAACTACAAATTTAATTCCTGATGAACCTCAAATACAAAAAGCACCTTTCTGTAATAAATCACAGCTTCAAGTAAAATGAAAGAACTGTCTGAAGAAATAAAATCAGAAAATAATATAATTAAATGATGGATTTTATGTACCTGCCCAGGAAGTACCAAGATTGTCCAGAGTTGGGGTCTGCTTCCAGAGACTTCTGCAGACACTGAATAGCATAGCTGTCCTTGTTGGCTTTATCTCCTAGCTGCTCTACTGTGTGATGCATCCAGCCTGTGGTAGCAGCAGTAAACATGAGAATCAGAACAGTTATCACACTCTACAATAACTGTCTTGAGAAAAAAGTACAAATGACTACACACCGTCCCTCCACCACTGAGCAAATCCCCCCACAAATTCTGTCAAGTTAAATCTGAAATGGAGCAAATGGCTTATCTTCTTGCTGTCTTTGTCCGTAGGGAGGAAACAGGAGATGGAGGGAAGAGAAGGGAGGGGGGTCTCTTACTACAACTAACAGCTTCAAAAGATCCCTTCAGAGACCGCCCTACCCAAACAGCCCCTCTCTGCCGCACACTCAGCCAGCCAGACAGAGGTTGTTAAGGGATGCAAGAGTGTGTGTCTGTGCGTGTGTGTATGTGTGTAGACAAAGCGCCTCCTCCCAGCATGCCCAGCCTCTCCCAGGCAATGATCCCAGCTGAGCTTTTAACACCTGTGGCAAGCGCCTGCGCCAGGACCAGTCACCATGGTAACGACACCAGTGTCGACAATTTCAGAGCAACGTGGAAGTGGTTTTATGACAGGTCCCCCTCCATTAAAATTCTAGACTGGCAAGAGATTGGAAAGGAACTTGAGAAAAGAGGGGGGTGGGTGTAAAAGGCATGCCAAACAAGGTAGGACGTTTTTGTGTGGCCAGTCGAGCAGCTAGGCTAAGGTAATTTAAAGCTATTGCACTACACACATGAAAACCTTAGTCAATAGGGACACTCAGAGCAAGGTGAGGGAAATTTAATTGGAGGTAACAGTGAAGTAACTTGAAAAGGAGTGAAAATTTTAATAAACTCTTTCAGAAAAAAAACGCACAAATGCCCAACAGTCTGAAAACCATGGACCTAGATCTGTCCACTGACCACACCAAGGAAGTAAAGATAAGGAAAAACTGCTTTCAATCACAATGAAAACAATCACCTCAAATCACCTCAGAAAACAATCACTAAATACTCGAGCATTTGCATTGCTTGTGTCTCACAAGAACGTTCTCATACAGTAACAAACTGAGCACCATCACAGTTTCCAAATCCTCTGGGATCATATCAAGGAAACAATTTTGCAAACAGAGTAGCCAAACAACGGAAATGCGGTAAAAACTCAAAACATAACAACACAAATTCCCTGTCATACATATTCATATTCAGTTGCTGCACAACTTTAACAATGAAATTTAACACTTTTTTAAATACTTCAGCAAAAATAAAAATAATGCCGTTTCTACAGCACCAACTCAGGCAAACTCAAATACACAGTCATATGCAAAAGTCTGGATCCCAACAAGCTACATTGTGTTGATTTTTCAAAATAAGTCAACAGTAAACAAACATGATTTTTTTTCTGCAAATTTTAGTGCACAACTTCTCCTTTTCTGCTTTTCTGCTTCAGTTTAACATATTAGGGAAAAAAACAAAACAAAACATGAAATGTGGCATAAATTTTGCACAGCCCACATGTTATGTTTTTATCTCGCAATATGTAAAAATTAGCAAACATGGATGTGTAATATTTTTTACCTGAGAAAATAAAAAAAAATTATATAATCTAACTAAGGGGCGCTTAAACCTTTGCATACAACTATTATGTGTGTCTATTTTATTCATAGTGATACATGCATGAGACGCATGCATGACATCACTTCAGTGTTTATCATACCTGCATCCTCTAGCCTTTTATATCAATGGTCAGTTGCTGACCATCGCCATTTGCCGGAAATTTATGGTTGGCGGACTAATCTGAATACGTTTAATGTAAACAATGACTCTTTCAACCTCAGAAGATACTGAAAATAAAAAAAAATTTTCCAGGCAATTTATAACTGTAAATTTCAAAACTTTTAGACTTTTAAAGAATTCACTGGAACCTCTTATTGTTTTTAGACTGAAATATTATATTTTCAAAACAGAATTAAAAAAAGAAATGTGAACTCATTTTGCTTTTATTGTTTTTGTCCAATAGCCAAAGCAAGCCAGTGGCCTAAGCATAATTAAAACAAACAAGTAATTTTCTTGTAAGATATATTTAAACACACATGAAGAGTAATTTTTTTTTTCTCTTTGGGGAATATCAGTGTGTTTCCAATCTATGGTCAATCTATATCTGTTACGACATTCTGTGTACCATAAAACTGAACTGTATTCAATTCATGCAGCATCACATAATCCTCATCAGACAAAAACGTACTACAAACGACTGGATACTGTGAGGTTGTAAACTGTAAACTACGAAAACGAAAGTGTGGAATTCTTACCCAGTTGTTGGAGGGTAGTTGCCTTCACCTGCGTTGGAAGATTCTCTGTTTGTAACAGGCTTTCATAAGCTTCCTTTGCTGCGCGGTACTTCTTCTGCAGACAGAGCGAGAAGAGAGGACGTTTAGCAGACAGAAGGGTCAGCACTTTTATGGCCCCTAAGGGTGGACACAAAAGAGCTCCCTCAGACTGACCACAATGACCAGCCTATAAAAGTGCTGTCTAGGAGGAAAAGACTTAACTAGTCAGGCCAGACAGAGAGTGATAGTACAAACACAGACACTGGGGGAGGGTCAGTGTAGGACAGGACAAGACAGACTAGACTCAACAAGCCAGCGGGTTGAAGAGCGCGCTTCACACACACCCATGAAACGTGAGAAGTGTTTGTTTTCTATAGTGACCTTGAGACTGTGGCAAGCCTGTGGCGTCTACAGCTCAGTGCTTACCAAGGCCTAGCTAACATACAGATAGACAATAGTTGCTAGCATGCCACAGCTAACACAGATGAAAGAGACTGGCTCATCCTTACACTTCCTGTGTGTCAGACAACAATCACACTTGAGAGTATATACAGGTACTTCAGGCCAAATATTTAGCAGAAGAATGAGAAAATACCTGTTTGTTTTGGACACACAAAGAGTAAAAACAGTCTAAAAGCTTAAAATCTTCTTTCGAATTATGAGAAGCTGCTCAAGTAACTGTCTGGGCAATTGCTGCTCATCAGAAAGTCAGCACAGAAAAGTTGGTTCAAAGGAAATCAGGGTGGTGCCCTCAAGCTTCATTCAGCCAGGCAGGGAGAAACTCTAGGATTTTAAATGCGAATTCCTCTAATTTTTCTAATATTACGCATAAATTAATAATAGAGATTGAAAATAACAACATAAAACAAGGTCAATAAGAGTAGTTTGACGTGAAATGGTCAAGTGGTGGCAAAATCGACTCAAACGTCTATATATTAGTGGTGGAGTCTCATGTCTACAACACAGATATAGCCTTTTATTTACATTCCAAATGAATTTTCTTCTGAGTTTTTATAAGTTGATGAAAAAAAATAGAGGCGTATCAGAAAAAAGTCTTTTCTTTGGGTGCTATTTTGACTTACAACGCCCTGCAAGTACCTCTTTGCCATTGATTTTAAAAATATACAGTACTGTGCAAAAGTTTTAGGCACCTGAGAAAATTAGCAATTTATCGGGTCAGTAAGCATTAGTTTCTTTCAAAAAAACAAATATTAGAATTAATACAAATAATATTAGTGCAGTAAGTAGTGATTTTATATATCACAATGTTCATTTAACAATTTACAAATCTCTCCTAACAGAAGCCTAGTATTACTTGTGGGCGTCACCCAGTACCTGGTTTGGCTAATAAATGGTTAATTATGTTAAAACAAGCTGGTGTTGGAATTTTACAAACCATGTGATGGCTGGAAGTGTTTAGGAGACATCTGGAACCAAACTTTGTACTTCAAGCTAGTTCACAAGATATTAACTACTTTTTTCAAAATCAGACAATTCTTGTTGTCTTTTTCTACAGTCATGTTTTTTCTTGTGTTTATTCTTATGATGTACAGTAAAAACACATATTTGTAAGACTGATGGATTCAAACAATGCACTTAGGTGCCCAAGACTAAAACTTTGTGAAGCAGCTTTTAGAGGCATTGAACTCTTCAGGTGTCCGGCTCCTAACACCATCACCACTGTAAACAATTCTGACTCAGTAAGTTTCTCTGGAACAGAACATTTCAATCACTTTGAACACCTCTGTTTACCAATTACTCAGAACTCACAGAAATTCTGAAAAATTGATGAAATTCCCTTAACACCAATGTTACGAGATATGGAAAAGACACCCCACAAAAATGGACCCTACATCCTCAAATAATGATCTGTCAGTGAGCTTTTGCACACTAAAGAATGAAATGAAAATACACTTAAATGTAAAAAGAAAAGGACTCACCTGAATCTCATATAAATGAGCAATGTGGAACTGAACTGCATAAAGAAAAAAAGAGGAAAAAAAAAAAGAATATTACTGAAATAATACTGACTAAAAACAGCAAAAGCCAAGACAAGAATACAAGGTGCCAGCTAGAGCGTTCTTTCTCCAGACCAGTGATTCTTTAGCTAGTAGTGAGCAGAATGCATAGAAGAAAAGGAGGAGGTTAGTGTGCCCTGTGTGCACTTCCAGCCTATCATTACCACCGGTGAGGAAAACTGCACAAGGCTGAATCCTGTAATGCAGTTTCCTTGGCAACTGCAGTCTCAGGGAGTGCAGAAATGGCAACGGGGAGAAAAATGGAATTACAGAAATATCCAGTAAAAACTGCCCAGTCCTTTTTCAGCTCTCTGTCACAGAAAGCCTTGAAAGGCTCCTCTAACTCTGACCACTGATGATCACAGTTCCTGAATAAAACTGCTTCAAGAACTGGATTAGAAACATGATGATGGACTGTGTTGTGCTCATTGTACTTACTTTCAGCTTTGGACAAAGTGCAGGGTGTTGAGTCAATCAAAGCCAGCTGAAAGTGCTGTAGAGAGAAAGAACAGATTTGATCAAAGGTACTGTAGGTTAATTCTCAGCACTTCAGGGGCCCATTTTACACAGCAGGATATATGGAGCACTTGCAGTGTCTAAGCTTGTACTGACTTGATACTGACCAATCAAGATCTGGACATGTTCTCTTAAATTCACAATGCACAAAAATGTTTGAACACCACAGAGTACTCTGATTCAGTGCAACTCTGCTGCCCTGACCAGTAGCACATAATACTCCCATAACAATCCAATAATCTCACAGCTAACACAAGTTTTAAAGCAAATGCTGGACATTTTTTTGTTAAGCAAACTGCTCCAGTTTCACTCAACAAAACACGGGAAAAAAAACTGCCTTAAATCAGTACCACCGTGAGCCATACGAGAGGAAACCAGCTTAGAACCTGTTTACAAGCTATAAATAGGACTGTCAGTAGGCTTCCCTGGAGTCTTCAGATTTTAGCAGCATCCTTTTATATAGGCATGTGCTAAAAATCTGTATAAAGCACAAAAATGATACATAAAATGGAAAAAATAACTGATGATGAAAACACTGTACAGCAAGTACACTGTTAGAAATAAAAGGCACTATGCAGGTACATTTTTCATTCATCAAGGTACAAACAATGTAAATGTGCCCTCAAAGGTACAACAGTGGTTTTAAGGTCCAATTGTGTACCTTAAATAGGTTTTGCCCCAGTGGAAAAGTACATATTTGTATCTTTTCACAGCCTAATGTTTAAAAATGGAATAATAAAATAAGAAACCTGGAGACGAGACGGGGTGTATGGAGTCAATACAACTTATATAAAAATATAATTTCAGTGGATTATGGTACAATGTTCCCTGAATAAAGGTACTGAGATGCACCCGTGAGGGTACCATCCCAGTGACAATTCCATATATTTAAGCGTGTGAGGGCTCCATCCAAACGAACAGATGAACATTCAACAGCCCAAAAGCTTTCTCAATTGATCCACCCAAGCTTCTCCCACAAATGTGTTTGTTCTCAGCAACTGCTGTGAGGTTGGCCATGCTTTACAGAAAGCAGAATCCAACCCACTGCTGTGCACAACTCAGTTTTTGTAATTCATGCACATGGGATTTCACTGCAAGAGGAAAGAGAAAATACGCCATGTACTAATTCAGTGAAATGCAACAACTTTGCTCATATTTGCAAGTAAGTATGTTATACTTCACTACTCTAAAACACAAGTGCCTGAACATGATGTGCTGTAAGGATGTCACATCGTCCACTGAGGAAAAAGCACCTTTAGAACAATGAGTCCTCATCAGCAACAGGACTCTAGTTAGCTCAGTATGCTTATTAGCTAGCTGAAGCCTTCGTTACTTATCCAACACAAAAACCTTCTGATGTCCCTCAGCGTTTTTAAATGGTTTTAAGCGTACAGGCCTGGATTATTTTCGTCCAATGAATGTTTTGTTTTGCTTTTGTTTGTCCTTGTTTGTCCTGGTTAACCGGATATCCGTTCATAAACTCTAATAGATACTTGAATGTCAAAATTTGTCAGAATGCACATCCCTACATAACACCACTTTTTTCCCCCCAGTACCAATAGTGTTGTAGAGAAAGTAAAAGTATTTATGAAGCTTTTTCTGCCGTCTCCTCACGTGTTATTTTAAAATAGAGGAAAAAATAATAAACAACTGATTAAATGTTTAACAGTGCTGCTAATTAGGAGAGAGCAGCTGGTTAGCATTAGTTTAACCTGCATGATAACAGCGCTGCTTGACTAAGTAAAGCACGGACACAAGTTTAGATAATACAGCCTCAAATGTAAGAAAGAGAAGTTGAGCACATGGTGCTGAAAGGACAGAAAGGTGAAATTAAACCTGTTTCATGGTGTCTGGAACTGTGGCTTTATCGGCTAACTTAATATTAACTTCGCAAGCAGGCTACAGACCAAACAGTACCACATAGCACAGTGCAGGCTTGAGTGTGACTAACTGGTGCTAAGTATAGATGAAAAAAATAGAGAATAAAAGGTGAGTAACTGGTGTTGGACTGACAAAGTTAAAACCTGTGGTGTTTGGCACTGCAGCATTTCGGCTAAGCTAACTATAGCATAGTCAGCTGGCCAACTGTGCCACACATCACAGCACAGGCTTGGTTCCAGCTAAGTAATGCTACAATGACACCATTCTGGTGAATATCTGAGAATGTAAAGTTGTGTGGCTGGTGTTAAAACGAAAGCTGAAATTGAATGTGTTCAGTGGTGTGTGTGTGTGTGTGTGTGTGTGTGTGTGTGTGTGTGTGTGTGTGTGTGTGTGTGTGTGTGGCTCTTAGCCATCATGAAGCTACTGTCATGCTTGGTTTTTCAGAGGTTTTTCCTAACTCTGATTTTTCCCCTTTTTCTATCATTGCCACCTCTTGGCGAGCTTCCACACCACTAATCAGAGAGTCTTTCCAAAATATAAATGGGAATGCGTTTACTTGGCTGTTCAGACACTGAATGCATCATTTTTAAATGTAGTAATCACTTTTAAACACTAATTATTTTTAAATTTCACAGTACACTTTATTACCATTATATGGTCCAACACTATGTAAGACTGTGCTATTTCAGGCTAGGTTTATTACAGTAGATTACAGCCAGAACTGGCTTCACTCCCCCCCACCCCACTGACAGATGATCCAGCATTTGCTGCTTATACTGATAATTTTTTTAAAAACTACTACTTCTTGTTATGCTGAATGGAATTTCTGCTGATGTTCTGGAAATCTTGTTCAGCTTGCTTAAGAAGACATTTTGTTGGCAGAACATGTCAATTCCACTTCAAGACATGGCACACAAACAGAGCTACAGCACAGTCAATTAACTATAATTTAAAGTGAAACTGCAACAGAGACTGTAAGAGCCTGGTCAAGGACACCAAGGCCATAAAACAGGTAACGCACAAAAAAAAGAGCCTACACCAGTACTACAAGGCCAAATGAACGGGAAGAGAACAAATACCTTACCCTCCAGTACATGGGTTACGAAGGACAACACTTTTTCTATTCTCTCTTCTACATATGCAGTTATTCAGTCCACTGGCTGACTGAGCAGAAAATGCATTAACAAGTTATCATCTGCTTTCAGCTGGTTTCATTAAGCAATTAATCCCAATACTGTAACAAGTTACACAGAAAAACTGCAGCCAGCTTTCTATGAGCATAGCAACAACTGAGCAGAGACACTGACAGGAATTACAATAGTCTACTGGATACAGAGCATCAATCTATTACCACCACTGAGGACACATTAAAGTGCACATTAAAATCACCCAATATTAGTTCTTCCATATGATGATGATGCTGATGATGACAACGACGATGATGATGATACAGAATGCCCCTTGTATATAAAACACCGTGAAAGAAGTGAGGAGTCCCCTTTAAATATGTACTGGTAACAGAGCTTCTTGCTACAAACCAGCAGTAAAATGTCAAGCAGATTAAAACAGGAACTACTTAAAATCAGTGCTATCGATCCATCTCAGCACACCCGTTACAATCAAGACAATGCAGACTCCATATACTAGAAACAACAACAATTTAGGACGTAAACCACCTACCTATCCAAACCACACATTACCAACCATACCAAGCCGTCAGTGCTGTGCAGGTCATCCCTCCTCCAATTGTACATCCTATATGAGCTCTATGGCACTAAACTGGCTGGAAGATAATGCAGCAGGATTGCCAGCTTCTCCCTCTCCTTCCAACACTGATTACTATTCAAGAGAGCAGCAGCTGAGAGATGACATGCTGCTCTCTCTCGCTTGCAGACTCACACACATATTCAAACATGCACGCGCACACACACACACACACACACACACACACACACACACACAATATACCTCCAGGCACCTCAATCACACACTTCATATGCTTGTTGTAGACTCTACCAGCACTATCCAGTGAACGAGAAAAGGAAGAGAAAAAAAAAGCAAGTAAGTTGGTGGTTTGTGGGCGGGGAAAGAAGAAAAGAAGCAGCAGAAGCACCAGTCAATTCAGTCAAAATAGCAGCACGGTTTCTAATTGTGGGATATCTCTCTCTGGTTATGTTAGGCATTGAAACAACCTTGTTCTCCAGCTGCTGCGGGTCAAAATCAACACCCTGTTGGCAGATTACAAAGATCGTGTGCCAAGGCCCTATCTACACTGGTACAGTAGGAGTCCAAAAGACATTCTTATGCTGTGTTTACACTCTGGCGGTAGACGTTTAACGGCAAACCGGATATTCTATTGTTTTCAATGGAGCAGCGATGGAAAATTTGTACAACAGGCAGGCAGCACTTAAATGAAGAGTGAAACTTTCCCAATTTTTGCCTCTGGCTGCAGCTGTGAAACAAATCTGACGTTTTCTTGCAGAACCATGGACACCGAATGTCTCAGCTTGTAAGTCCGAACATTACACAACAAAAAAAATGGACACTTCCCACCTTAAATAACCAATAAACACTTCTAAATCTCTCCTTTCATAAGCATTCATTTTTGTCAATAAAGGCGTCACCATGGCAACGTTTTCATAGCTGCATGCTACTGTCGGTCACATACCGCTATGAGGCACGGAACAACCTTTTTTCAGTGTCACCGTGTAAATGCAGCATTAGAGATCAATGCAAAAGCAATCCAAGTGCTTGAATGACCACTTCTGTACCTAATAATAAAGGAGGTAGATCATTAAACGCATCCTTTAGGCTCACACAACCGTGATCTGTGATGAGCTAGTAAGATAAAAGCCCTGTCATTTCCTATTACAAGCACTTACCAGCTGGTAAAAGAGGTGGGGCCCATGAGTCGTGTTCTGTGGAGAGTGGCAAGGGCCAGCAGGACTGGACAGAAAAGAGCACACCGGCTACAGTGTGCACTGATGCCTCCCTCTCAGAGCTGCGCCTTTGTTCCCCATAAGTGGGACACACACAGAGTCAGTGCGTAATCACAGGGCTGGCAGCCAGCCAACACTGCCTTCAGCAGCCTCATAC